TGGGGGGGGGGGGGAGGGGATTGTGGCGGGGAAATGTTGCCTCAGTTTTTTTTGGTCAAGGTTGACGCTTGAGGGGCGAGGGGTCGCGTCGCTTACTAAAGATACATAAGACAGTATCACGGTTCTTGGAATCTATATTCACATTTGGGACATATCACCAATTGAATCACTCGAGACCTTCAATAAATACAGGATAAAGTTACATTTGATTGGAAGAAAACTACTACCATCGCTTTACTGGGATTGTCATCAGCCATTGCTCAGTCAGTCGTAAGGCTTCATCTTCCTCGTCAGCAAGACTGCACGTCACTGCTTATTATATAAATCCACGCATAATAAAACTACAATATTCAAAGTCCCACAAAGACTTTCGGATCAACTTTTTCCCTCGTGCGTAAACAGGCCTCCCTATGTGGTGACGCTTCCAAGAATAGTCAATCTTCATGTTATCCACTTTCATGTCGACTTCCAGTATCAAGAAGCGGAAGGTCCGCCCTCGGATGGCTCATCCTTCGCCTTATTCTTCTTGTTATGTCGTCTTCGCTTCTTCTTTGCCTTTTCGGGCTTTTGTCCTTCCTCGTCCTCTCCATCTCCTCCCTCAACAGCGCTTGAGGATACGCGAGGTGATGGACCCGTGGAGTTCGATCCACGATTACTCTCATCCTCATTGGAACTACTATTGTTTGTTTCCAGGACAACCTTCCTCACACCCCCTGAATCAATGATATTTTCTGTGATGCTGCCACTTCGTGCAGCCCCTCTTTTCTTTCGTGGTGCACTTTTACTCCTAGTGGCAGAATTTAGGGTGCCAACTGTATCGCTACTGTTGTCACTTTGAGAATTTGTCGTTTGTCTCACTAGTTGCGCATCTCCTTGAGAATTCGCCGATATTGGCCTTGCGTTGACTTGAGTACCCTTCGACTTTAAACTTGGGTTGGGTGATCGGGCACCATCGAAACTGCCGTAGCCTTGCTGCACTGCTTGCACACCGTCCTTGGCATCTTTCCCAGCCGAACGTAAAAGACCTTCACCCTCGCCGCCCTGTGGTGCATGGCCTTCGTAATATAGTGGATCGTCATGGTACGGCTCCTCTACTATGGCGGATTCTTGGGTAGTCGATTGAATTGGTCGTCCATTTGCGGCAGCTGCCTTGATTTTGACGGTATTATAACGGGTGGTTTTCGGGCGGCTTGCCAAATTGGATGGCCCCAAATGCTTGAGGTGCTCTCTCATATCGTTCATATTCCCTCTAACCGTAATGTTTTTCCCAACCTCCCCAGTTGAGCTTCTGCGAACAAAGGTTGTTTTAGGACTAGTAGAGAGAGCCGTAGCCGTAACCGACGGACTGTTACTTCGATCATTTTTGCTGATTGTGAGACGTTTGTGTAACTCTGGAGTATTACCATCTTCAAAATCAATAAGACGAGGTTCAGATGTTTGTTCGGCGCTTGCTTCAATAACATGCCCCTTGGGTATACGAGCCTTGGGGGCAGGGTGAATACGTCGAATAGCCTTGTGTACATCAATATAGACGTCTGATTCATCGATAATTTCCCTGTATAGGATTAGCATATGAATTTTGGATGTTACAAAGGAATTCAGAGTACGTACTCTCCAATCAACTCTTCAATGACATCTTCCAAAGTTACGACTCCGATGGCACCGAAATTTTCACCAGGGTCGTCCGATACCAAAACCATGTGCGATTTTCCCTCTTGAAAGAAATTGACAATGTCGAGACAGCTAGTCTCTGGACGGGTTTCGGGCAGGGTTGCTAGAGCAAACTCGCTAACCTTTTTGCAGTCCTCTGGGTCGTAGGTAATCAGAATCTTGACTAAGAGCATACCAACAAAGTTTTGTTCATTTCCAGGTTCAAAAATCGGAATTCTGGAATAACCTGCACTGAGAATAATGTCCATGGTTGCCTCATCCAAAACGGTATCGGCGGACATTGTGAATACATCCTCCATCGGGGTCATAATATCCCCCACGGCTTTCTCCTTGAGATCTAAGACCGCACTGATAATTGTGACTTCGTCTTGGTTGAGTCTAGAGGTGGGGTCTGCTCCAAGTGTTCTGTGTAAAGTGACCAGTGTTTTCAAGCCAGCCTTTTTGTATATCGAGCCATGGTCCTCTCCTAATGCCCAATCGAGTAAACGTGCGGTAGGCCAGGCGATGGGACCCATAACCCACATGAGGAAGGTTACATATGGCGACATGAAAGAACCGATTGCAAGTCCATATCGCGCGCAAATAGCCTGGGGAATGACTTCTCCGAAGATGACTATATATGATTAGTACTGCCGTTTGGCACCACGATTTCAAACATACCGATTAGAACGGTACTACCAGCGACAGCAGGCCAGCCGCCGCCGAGAGAGCGATCAAGCACAATAGGCAAAGTCTCGTTCACAATCACATTGGATAAGAGTAGCGTGACTAAGACCCAATGTTTTCCCTTTTGCATTAAATCAAGAACCCGTTGTGCGTTTCGCTTCTCTTTTCCTTCGCTAGATGTTGCAATGACCTGGAGATGAATGCTGTCTTGTCCCATAAAACTAGAAGACCCGGGATTAGCGTATGCCAGCCAGATTTGGGCAAAATACTCACGCAATGGTCAAACCAGCAAAAGCACCCCCCAGCAAGACCAGAACTGCCGCGATCCCCAAGTACAACCATAGGCTCGCATCCTCGGGATCCTTTGGCAGCTCTTCCTTTGCTAGACCAAACATATCTTTGACTGGCGCAGCTGCAACGTACGATAATTGGCAAAGACCCATGAACAAGACCTTTGCCAGGCCTAGAATGGCCGGTCTTGACGCGACATTTCCATAAAGATTGCTCTGATGACCCGCGATAGCACCTCTCGAATCCATCGCCACCTCTACAAGCTCCGGAAACCCTCAAATTCCCAATGTATATAGAACGGAACTGAATATAGGTTGATGAAAGCCAACGGTGAGGCCACAAAACAGCTGAACGTACGAGGGAGATAAGTGGCGTAATAGAATCGGGAGCTATAGGGAAGGATGTGCCTCGCTGGCGCGACGAAGCTGAAGCCGTTAGAAAAAGAAGAAACGGATTGGTTCCCAGGTCCTCCTCTGCTACTCGGGCTGTGAATAGATCTGCTGAGTGGCTCGGCAAGGACAACCTGGAAGACAATTGAGGGGATTCGGACAGAAAATAGCAGTACGGAGTACTCGTACCAGCAATCGGCAGGGTCTTTCCTGCAGACGGGATGAGCGAAGTTGATGCTGGTCCTGCTGCTGGGAGCAGTCGGAATCGGAGTCGGGGCAAGTGGACGCCAGTGAAAAAGTGGTTCGATTGAGCGCAGGCTCAACTGCATCTGCATGAACCGGGGGAGAAAACAAACGAGCCCAATGACGGCATGTGTTGAAGGTGTAGTGGGGCACGATGACGACTTTTGGGTTGCGCACGGGCTAAGAAATGATAGAGAGCTGCGGGTGCCGTCGGGTCGGATGAACGTAAACTTACACGTGATTTACTGCCTTAACGAAGCCCCCGGGGCCACCTGCAGTGGAGGCAACCTGGAAGAGCCTAAGAGGTGAGGGCCGTATTCGTACTGAGTAGCGCTTCGCTGGTGAGCTCCAATGTCAATACATTGGCCAAGTCGACTCTTTTCTACGTCTTTACCTACGAACCCCCTTCAATCGTCTGTCCTCACCGCCCCCTACCATCCTCTCCGTGTACACATCATATCTCATGGTCGATACGTTTGAAATTGTACCTCAAATCTACCAGAAGAAGCTAGCATATCTGCCGCTACCCAGCCGAAATCGGAACAAATGATGAATACGAACATCAAAAAATATCTTTCTCACCTATTCCCAAGCTCGCCAAGGAGACACAGCTCAATTCCACCAGCTGTGGCTGGAGATAAGGTCATTTTGGTGTCTTTTTCAGTCGTCCTTATCTCTGGCAGATTCCTTTCGTGTTCCTCAAAGTTGAGAAGTTTCCGCGAATGCCCGATGAGACGGTCATGCTGATGTCGAAGTATATATCAAGAATCTATTGTACTTCACGCCAAGATGAAACACTTATGTGAACATATCCTAGAGTGGTTTTGCTTCTCACAACGTGACGTGAGAAGTGCACAAACGACGTCCAATTGTTTGGTTGATGACCAGAGTATCAAATCGACTTATTCCATTTCGCCTAACCAAGGGTGCCATGCCGCCGCCATATGGCCGTTGTTAGAGGTTGAAAGTATTTTATATATCAGTACAGGGAGTACGGACGGTGATACAAAAGCATCTGGAGACACCTGCGCGTGTTGGATCTCGAAAGACGGATATGCGGTATACCACCTATGACAGAGCCAACTCACGGAGAAATTCTTTTCGTGTCAGCTGTCTGTTCTCGTCCCAGACCTGATATCGGTTATACGGTGATTTGAATCTGGGTGTTTTGTTCGGTCACTTCAGGCGGCTTTTCGTTTTCCATAGACTGCGTCCACATAGCTCCTCTCGGAAGGACTTCTTATTCCCTTTTTTATGGCAATTCAAATCCCTTATAGACAGACAGTTTGTTGCGAAAAGGCTTTGAGGTTTGTATGCCTTGATGAACGCACTCATGAATTGTTATAATCACTCTTGTCTCAGGTGGTGACTTTGGTTGGTATATGGGCTGAGCTCAACGAGCATTATAACCACTTCGAGGAAAGGTCAAAGGATGCGTTGCGAGAGCCCGGATTTCCCAGAGCTAGGACAGGTCCAAATTGTCACCAATATGCTCGTGTCATGTCATATATATGGTTGTTCTTCCCTTTAGCAACATTTCTTCCGCCTTATGCACAAGCCTGCTTACTATCAGAACATCTCACCAACTCTTCCTACAGATTTCAAATTCATGTACTCGAGTACGCCAAAGTCAACAACGCCTATGAGTTTGGCGTTCCTGTTCTTGTTCCTGTTCCTTGCATGGCTTGATCATTCACGGGATTTACTGAACCGTCAAATCGTGGCTTGCTTTTTAGCATGAAGAGGCTTCCCAAGGGCTGAGATCACCGAACGTCGTTTCTTTTTGGGGGCGATTTAGAGTGGTCAGTCATGCTAGTCCAAAGCCATTTCAGCCAATGGATGAATTGTGGTTCCTCAAAAGTGCACCGGAGACATCCACTCCCGAACCTAAATCCAACATCCCGTCACGAACAACCAAAAACGGCCCCAAATTTGAAGCCACAACCGGAGTCTTTTCGAGTGCTCCTGCTCATTACGCGAAATCGCGATGATTCTTTTTGACGGGTCTTCAAAACACCGGCGCTTGCAAGATGGTGTTCTTTTTTCCCTCGTGTCTGTGGTAGGTTGATGGTGTATTACGGTCTTGCTGTATCACCATCTGAGATACATATGATACAATACAACCCTTTCTTTCGCTCCCTCCTTCATATTTCTTCGTCTGTCGTTCGATTTTCAGGGTTTGGACAAGCTTTCTCATGCCCCATTCGATTGCGCAATACTGGTACAGTAGTTGATGATCAGTTGAAAATCGCGGGGCGGCCAGTCTTTGAAACATATACGAGACAAGGGGGAGCGCGCGAACGAAGAGGAGAATAAGCGCAACGAGGGTCCAAAGGTTCAGACGATCGCATGTCTACGAGGAAGAACCTTGGGCGGAACTCGACGACAAGATAATACATACGAAAAAGATTGTAGGATTGATTGTTATCGTTGTGGTACGACTGGGGCGACCACAACAAAGATACCAATCAATTACGAGAATACAGAAGGCAGGTTGTATTACGATCACGCCCAGACTCGCGGGACAAATTTCCTTGGATTCTTCAATACGATCATCGGAAGCGAAGAATACTGTACCCAAGGAGAAAGCTTAGCCCAAGCATCAAACCGTTAACCAAGAAATGTCACTCTGCGGCGTCCGCCCAGAAGGCTTCGTACGCTCCCTACCTGAGTGCTTTATAAAATAAAAAAACTCAAACTAACATCTTCCCAGGGCCCCTCCTCCACCCTCTCCTCTCCCCTCCCAACAACCTGCTTCACAGACACAATCCTCATTCCCCTCCCAACATGGCTCCTCCTACTCTCCCTCCCACCTCTATTCCTCCTCGCCCGACGAATCCTCTACCCCTCCCACAAATCCAACTCGGAAGCGAAAAGAAGCTGGACCCTCACAATCTCGATGATAGCATACTACTTCTTGATCCTCGTCAACATCCTCATGTTAACGCTGGAATTGGTGCGCTTATCAACGATCAACTTCGGGGTTGGATTGCTGCCATTTGAATATATTGGTCTATTAACAGGCGCATACCTTCACTTTTCAAACGGGATTGGGGGCAGGATAATTGGATGGAGATGGAGTAATATGGGGGTGCTTTGGGCGGGAGGTTCGGCTGTAAATGTTGTTAAGGCTGCGGGACTTGCGAAGGAGGGAGGGGTGAGAGAGGGGAAGTATCCAATGAGTGATCAGATTACGGATGTTGCGGTTTCCGCCGGGGTTTTTGGTGTTATTGCGATCTTGGAGGGTTGGCTTTGGGTTCTGGAAAGGAGGGGAAATGCAGGGAGAGGCGGGAAGGAGGGTATGGGGAGTGTTTGTAGTGGGGAGGAGGAGATGGGCTTGAGGGTTGCCCCGATGGGTGGTGTAAGGTGAGTGGTTTGTCTCTTTTTTGGTTTGATTTTGGCGTTTTGTTTTGGATATCAAGGTCGCGTTAGAATTGTATAGGTCGGGTGATTGATGATAATTTTATCATATTTTCTTCAGGCCCTTTGGGTGTAGTTTCTTGTTCTTTAAACTTTTTCCATCTTGTGCGGCCAAATGTTCTACACGCTCGGCTGTTACCTTTGAGGCTTATTATTTTCCAGGCCAAGCGAAGATACGTAAGACGTGATCTCAAAGCTTTCTGCCCTACACATGGGATTTTATAAGCTCCTACCGGTAAACCCGGAATGGTGCTCACCCCACGCTTGCCAAACGAAGTCAAGCTTGCGGAAAAGAATTTATATCTGTTATGTTGAGTTTTCTGCTCTCAAAAGTTACTTTGGCACTTTACGCCTTGCCACCTTACTTTGCATCCAAACACCAACCCATTTCACGAAGTCCCGGCCACGACCACCTATTGAAAGTGGGCTTTTTTTGCTTCCTTCTCTTTTCCTCTGATCTTACTCTCTTTTAAGGACTTGATGTTTTGATTTCGAATAATGTTCTTGAAAGGCTTGGAAAGTGGATCTTGCCAGCTGTATCTTGGCCAGCTGTGTTCCGCCGAGGGGATGTGGAGAAAGTTTCCCGTTGAAGATCTTCTTGTTTTTGGATAGTGGAGGAGATGGCACAACGTCGTTGGTACTTCTTCCCAGGCAAAAGGATTGTAGCTTTTCATGAGCAGCTTCAGTGGAGTACAGGGTAAAGCCCCCCACCTGTAATACTTACTATTGATTGGGATTTGTAAGATTACGGAGGTACACACCAGTCATCCGCCATCTACGCACGTAGGTGTTGCCAATAGTTTGAGCAGGTATATTCCATCGAGACTGTATATCATTATCTTGTTTCCTCTTCCATTCTTTTTACAACAGCCATTACGATCCCCTCACAAGACTCATTAAGAAAACTCACTCGCTGTATTTCCTTAATCAACTATCCAACCTCTCATTCCACCCTCCATACCCCCTCAAAATGGCCACCCAAGAAATCGTCCTCATCACCGGTGCCAACCGAGGAATTGGCAAAGGCATCACAACAACCTACCTCGCCAAACCCAACATGACCGTCATCGCCGCAGTCCGCAAACCCACCGACCCAACCTCGCAATCCCTCCTCTCCCTCCCCAAAGGCCCCGGCACCAAACTGATCCTCATCCAACTAAACACCATCTCCAAACCCGACCACCTCTCCGCGATCCAAACCCTCGCCTCCGAGCACGGAATCACACACATCGACATCCTCATCGCCAACGCGGGGATCATGCCTCCTTCCTCCATAGCAAGGCTCACGCGCGTCGACCCCGAGGAGATCCGCAGCGTCTTTGAGGTCAACACCCTCGGCACGCTGACCTTGATCCAGACGTTTTTTGAGACGCTGAAGAGAGCGAAGAACCCGCGGTTCTTTGTGATTAGTAGTATGAGTGGGAGTATGGGGGCGATGCAGAATATTTTGGGTGCGCCGATCTTTGCGTATGGGATGAGTAAGGCGGCGGTGAATTATTTGGTTAAGGTTTGTCATGTTGAGAATGAGGAGATTTCTTCGATGGCATTTTGTCCGGGGTGAGTCTTTTTTTTCTTCTTTTTTTTTCTTTCTTTTTTCCTCTCTCTCTCGAGCTCTCTCTGGGATTTTAAAGCGAAGTCTGGTCTCGGGTTTCTTCTTGCTGGCTCTAACCCCTCAACGACTTGAGCGAAAATGGTTGGAAAGACGACTTCATTTCATAGCTGACGTCTCGAATAGATGGATAAACACCGACATGGGTGGCAAGGCCGCAGAAGTAATTGACATGCCCGATGCCCCCTTCGTCAAAATGGAAGATAGCATGGCGGGGTTAATCAAGATGTTTGATAGCGCGAGTAGGGAGGAGTCGGGAACCTTTCGTAACTGGGATGGAAGTGTGATTCCATGGTAGACGGATTGTACAGTACGTTTAGTTACCAATCATCACACTATTTGACCGCATGAAGTAAAATGACGGTAGAGTGTTTGGATTTGATGCTGGAAATTGAAGTTGAATGTTGAACATTGCTTTGTGGTAGACTGGACTGTGCACTTGAGTCGTGCTGATGAGGTGTTCACATCCTGGCTTTTGCCGTTTGGCGGGCTTTTTGACTGGCTTCCATTTGATTCCTTGCGATCTCTTTGCATTCCCAAGTCGCGAAATCGTTCAACTTCACTATCACATGAGAGATCTCGTTACGAAGTGGTTTATATATGTGAACCTTCTAGTCTGGATCTGAGTCTTGTATATTTTTAGGTAGATTGTGGACTTTCCTATGCTACGATGTGTTGTGTTGATGTCGTGTTACTCGAGTGAGATTTACATTCGCTGTTATGAGATGTATGTATAACTTGAGCGTGCTATGCTCTACTTTTGTGGGTGTTTATACGAGCTCTTGGAATGTTTTTGTAGAAAGATGTAGCAATTGTATAGTTAATATAAGTGGTGACAATCTACGTTAGACTGTTTATGCGAGTTTATTCTCTTGATATATTCTGGGTGGATACAACTGGCTTTTAATTTCATGTCTAGCTCGTACCTAGATATCTTTTCTAAAGAACTCTAAACCCAAATATCCAATAAATAATACGCTGCTTCACATCGATCATCATAGAATTCCTTTTCTTCGTCTATATTCTCTACATCTACAGTATCAGATAACGTATAATCTCAAAAACACCCAAGAAAGCAACCAACCCAAAAACAGCTTGGAAAGTAATGGTGTCAAGGAAATCATCAACAGGAGGGGATAGGACACCACCTGCTCTGCGCACGTATAAAGAGACTAAACGAGCTTCATTCATAAGCCAAGGAAAAGATTACAAATATCTCCAGATACTGGAAACATTCGTGGAATGTTTGCCAGGTCTGCCAACACGAGGGGGTTGTAGGGAATGTGCGAGGCTTGGAATTGGTTTTAGAAGCGGATCTCTATTCTGATGATGTTGTAAGGATGTGTTTTTGTTAAATCGGTTCGATTGATGGTTCAAGAGGTAAACGACAGCAAGAGATTTTTCGACAGTAAAAAACTATATATTCGCCCTCCTTAGTGTGTAAGGTGTGTTACGGCTATAGTGAATGTTTCTAGCCTTTAAGAAACTTGACTCATGGGATTGTGGTTCATGCTTTGTACGTGGGAGATATTAGTGACTTGAAAAGACGTTGTTTGTAGTAATCGCCGTATCTTGTTTAGCTGCCGAATAGGAAAGGTCTCCCTTGCTTTTTGGGCTCTATTTATGGGAACCTGAGATTTCTTTTTGCTGTTGTATATCTTATTGCGTATTCACTGTGCGTGCTTTGTGGAGTTGGGAGTTGAGGGTTGAGGGATGTGATTAAAAGTTTACATTGAGGATTTTGATAGGAATAAGACGAGAAGAATTTCGGCCTATTTCGGATATTCTGAATGTACTGTCGCAAATTATGAACTGTAGAAGGCATTTTATGTTATAGGTGGAGCTGGGGAAAAGACTTAGCTATAGTTAGTCTGAATTATTTCGTTAGTATAGTTGTATGATTGCTGTTCCTCTATACTATAATTACGTAGGTATACCCTCTTGCGCTCCCTCCTCGGACCCTGATTTCCGTACCCTCTCTCATGTCTCGAACTTATTAAGTATATACCCCTACTCTCGCGAGCTCTATCTCTACATACCCCTTATTGTCGTACCCCCTACCTCTCTTCTCGCTATTACCATAACTGTCAAGGAAAAAACAGGAGACTATTAGAATGCGCTGTAAAGAGGAAAGAAGAAAAGAAGAAGTACTACTCTAACATAAGAGTTCTCCTGAGTTATAGATCCTTCCTGAGTAAGACTCGCGTAACTCATGGATCTATATCAACTATACAGGAAGTTTTATCTAAATACAAGAGTCACATACTACTCCCTATAGAATAATAAAGGATAGAACTCTAGCGTTCCGTAATAATTACTGTTGTCGTCGCTACTGCTGTTACAAATGTAGGCTGTGAAGAAAGAGAAGAGGAAGAAGAAGTAAGAATAAGGAGGGGTAAGTAGCAAATAATTGTTGGTATAATACGTATGTTACTTAGCCTTTTTAGAAAGGTAGGAGTAGGGGCTAGGAACAAGCGAGGACACGTATAACTAGGGTTATTTGTTTGTATTTATCCCTCTCTCTCTCCTGTAATAAATATATATCAGGGTATAAACCCTATACTACGGTAAGGGCACGGTAGTAAGAGAATAGGGAGTAAGGGTAATGGATATATATATTCTTACTATTATTGTTATGACACGAATACTCTTGGCTCTACTTTCTGGCACTAGTAAATTCCATGGAAGGCGCTAGTCCTATTCAGGACGCTTCTATGCCGAAAGATAGCTCTTATATTAGTGCCCTGCGCACCCCTTAGCTAGCTCTTCACCCTCATATTCATTTTTTTACAGCTCATTTTAACAGTTTCCTGTTTTGTCTCGGATATTTAGTAGTAATGCTGGGATCTAAGTATGTCTTGTCTTTCAGACGAAATTAAGAAGTTAGGCCCTTCGAGCTGTTAATTATCTGAGTACACTTGGAATCGATTCCTTACCAATTAAATCCGACAAAATCTGCCCTTACAGTACAAGCCGAGCCAGCAGATATCTCATAAAACACCCTCCTCTTCATTAAGCGAGTACATGTAGTATAATCGCGATTCGCGAACGTAACCAGGTGCGATACTCGGACAGAAGAGGTTTCGGTTTTTACCCCTTTGCCCCAGGAGGAACGATAACACATAGAGGACATACAAATGCGGGGAGGAACAGACTTTCTTTGTACTTGTTGGAAGCAAGTACGAAGTATGGGATAAGGAACGAGAAGACAAATATGCTTAGGATCTCGAAGGACTTTCAGGAACGAGGACACACACCCCCTGTCGCTCGCTTGCGACATTCCACTCATTTGGGTTGGACACATTGGATTGTTATGTGAACAGTATGGATATTGATGAACAGACGCCGGAACATGCTTATCAAGGGCCTCTAGGGCAAGGGTTTGGATTTTGTACTTGCATTTGGACAGTGGACTTGCATGGATCTCGGTATGTGCTTATGAAGAGCCACTGATTTGGATTTGGATTTGACAGCATACCTTTTTAATTCTCGGATGAGTACTTATAGTATTAAGAGTCTCGTCCACCGATTTAGAGGTAGTCCGAAGACTAATACCAGTAGAAAATCCTCTATTATATTAGCGCCGAGAGTCAGTGAATAGTTTACGAATAAGCTCTCAGCTTGGTACGTGCTCGTCGCGTGCTCTGGAATTCCATAACTCCATGGAATATCAGAGCCTATTCGATGGAAATAAGTGTTCCATTTATAAGGAGGTCTGGAAATATTCCATATGGAATCGAATCATCGAATATATGGAATCGAGTGCCCTAGCGTCACTAATAGTGACGCTGGGGCATCGTCTTTCGATTTTGTGGCGGCAATTGTTACGGCACGAGACTCCTGTACTCCTGTCTCTACCGCCTGACCCCCTGTGCCGGTGCCTTGGTGGATGCCTAGTACTCTAGAACTTAGAAGCTTCCACTCGGTCAGGGTCGTCTTATATTAGAGTCGCTCTGCTCGCTCCCAGCTAGCTTCTCTCTTTATCCGCTTATCCATCCTTGTATTATGCCCTCGTCTTCTAAAAATTATATTCGTAAGATAGTATTCTTACTACTATATTCTTACTTTTATACAGGCTCGCTAGTATATAAAATTTATGCCTAGTATAGAGAGAGAGAGAGAGAGAGAGAGAGAGAAGGTGTCAGGGACAAAGTGAGGTGTAATGTTCGGAATGTAAAGAAAGATACTATTCAAAATAGTGGCAGTAGCTGTACTAATATGAGCCTCACCCTGATGGGTTAGAAGGCTCTGGAAGGCTCCTTTGACTAACCACGAAACATCGCTTAAGTAAAGCACGGGCTATATAGTACGTCAAAGGCTTGGTCTAGCACGTTCCTAGCATGTTCTATAACAGAAGGGAGGGAGGATAAAAGAAAGGGTAAGGGAGAAGGAGGTAAAGGGGTACGGAAGGAAGAAAGGAAGAAATAAGGGATAAAGAAAGTAGTTAGTATATATTATCCTTAATATTACCTTCCTAAAGAGGCTAGGCTAGCGAGTGTTAAGCGAACAATTGTTTACTACTTAGTTGTTCTTATTATCCCTTTTAACTTTCTCTTTTCTTCCTTTATGATACTAATTTATAATAGTAATAGTAAGAAGAAATAAGAGTAGAGTTATATAGTTTATATATACGAAATTTAAAAGAAGGGAAAGGTATAACTAAAAAGAGAGTATTAGAAAGGAATATAAAAGAGTATACTTATAAAGAACTTAATATTATATATAGTAATCTAGATAAAGTTTATTAAAATAACTCTATTCTCTAAGTTCTATTATATATTATATAAAGACTTCTATAATTTGTAATTTATAATTTAATTGTTTTCGAACTAAGTAGTATATAATAAGAATTTTACTTAATAAGCTTTAACTTTTCTATACTTCTAGATAAATTTAATATTTCAAGTACTTTTATTCTTATCTATTAATTTATTCTATTAGTAGTTCTTAGTATAAAAATACCTATAATATTAGAGTAAAGAAATATATAAAATAATTATAAGAATAATAGTATATAGAGAAATTATTATTTAAACTAAAGAATTAAAATTATTTAATTAAAATTACTTAAAATACTAGAATAAATTAATCTTTTATAATAGAACTAATAAAAAGATAGAATATGTTATACTAATAGTGTATTATTTTAACGTTAGTTTTATTAAATTCTATAATTTAACTAGGATATTATTCTCTTTTTTACCTAGAAAAGAGAATAGAGTTAAATATATTACTATATTTACTATATTCTATATTCTAAAGTAATATCTCTATATTCTATATTTCTAGAGCTTTGATACTTTATTTTTAAAAATAACTTAAAATCTAATAACTTACTAATATACTATAAAGTAATCCTTTATTCTACGTAGAATTTATAGTCATTAATACTTTTTGGTTATAATTATAAAACAATTATATTTAATCTTAGATGATAAGAAGTTGTAAGTATAAAGTTAATACTTATTATAAATAGGTTTTGGTCGAACTTATAATAAGGGTTTATAAAGTATAAATCCTTTTATTAAACCTAGATATATACGAATAGTAGGAGTGTAGAATTTTACTATTTTACTAGTATTCTATAGTTTATATTTAAAGGGACTTTAATGAAAATTACTCACGAATCACTTTTCTGGAACACATGTATGTCGTATCGCGAAAGTGGATGTATTACGCGCTTAACCAATCTCATTTTTGCAATTAATGCTCCTTCGGTCTCAATGCCAATTCGTCTTCCTATCCCGCGAAATTCTCACCACCTGCTTCCTCCCTACCAACATTCATCTTCTCCTTAGCAGCAGCTTCTCCTCCTGCCTTCTTCTTCTCTTCTCTCTCCCGAATCGCCTTCCTGGTCCGTCCGTTGAGCTTCTTCTTCTTCTTCTTCTCCGGCTCGTTGGTCGCAGTCGCAGCCACAGCCGCAGGCTCTCCAACCAACTCCGCATCTCTCATCCTCTGGTTGCGAACCGCAACCTTCTTGGCGCGTCGCTCCTTCCTGGTCTCTCCGTGCTTGATATCGCCCTATGTATTTTAGATTAGCAAAACTCCAAGAGCGAGATTACACAAGAGAAGAATGCTTACCGTCGCCCGTCTGGCCATTTGCCGTGACTTTTCACTGGCCACTGGTGGTAGGACCTTGTCTGGCCTATCCTTCTTCTTCCATTGTACATCTGGGACAGGCAGGGCGTAACTCTTCTCTCTGGACTTTCGAACTTCGTGAGTGGGTTGGGAAGACATTGCTTCAGGAAATTTGGATGTTTTTTATCGGGTGCGACAATGTTCGATGTATGAAAGTCTGATGAAGAGTGATTTCGATGATAATGTTCTTGCACAGAATCTCTTTCCAGGTCATCGATGAGGAGAAAAATTAAAAATTAGGGCGGCCCCAGCCTCCTGATTTAGCGAGTGAATGCGGCCGCCAGGCAAAACATACAAAGCCGCACAACCTAAGGCATTTGCTACCCTACCAAATACAACTCTATCTCATTATTTACTGATATCATTCTGCGCATTCTCTCCCTGAGAATGACCTATATAGATGAAAATGTGGTCAAGCGATGAACTGACTGTGTTGTTGTTTTCTTCTTATAAATCATAAGCTAGATAGTTGTAGAGGCTCTGAGAAAGATTCTCGTATAATCGCAGAAGAGTAAAGCAACCTCAAGATGTAACATAATCAAGCTAGTGCTATGATTGGAATTTAATTGTTCAGAGCCAAGTTCTACATCGGGTTATGCGTAGCGATAAATATCACCTCGCTACACAGGACGCGCATATGGAAAATGGGTCCACCCACACGCCTTTACAACCACTAATAACACAAATTCCAGCATCTGTTAAAATTTTCGTATCCGCACGTTCGGGAGTGCAGTTAGTAAGCTAAGGTGGTGCGGTGGTTATCGCGCAAGTCGTAAACTCAGGCCCCCCTGTAAGTGCTGGGCAACCCTCAACAGAGATTCCTCGTTAAAGCTGAATTATTAGCAATGGCCTCGGGGTGGTAAGACGACAGGTGTTTATTAGCTTATCAGGCCAGGCCTAACATCAAACTTTGGAACCCAACCTCTGATTTGTCAGATAACTTAATTCTTTTTGGAGTTTTTTTGGATTGAACTTTTGGGGGTTTCTAAGCGAGGCGAGGAAGCGCCTTGGCAGCGAAGGGTCACATTCAATTCACTGTCGTCGCGCACTTTATCTGTACGCCACTTTTGATAATATAACTCTCCTAATGCAAAATTCTTAGATGCCTGGTCGGTCGCGCTCTCTATCATTTGCGATACAATATTACGAAAACGTCGGCCTTAATCAACATAGCTTGATAGCAGTTACTATTCGCTAGCAAAATTCTCCAGAGAACCGCGGCCTGTACTCTCGAGAATCTACTTCAATGTACTACTTTTGAAGGCTTCCGAGGAACATCAAACGTTTTGAAACAAGATCGTAGACTCACTGCCCTTTATGCGCCACGGTGAAACTGTTTTCACACTGCATACTAGTTAGTGACCAACCAGAATTCACCATAGTAATTGAATCTTACGGAACTTTGATCTTGCGCGAAGCTGTATTCATAGATCCTTCTCAACTGACGTACCCTTGTATTCTTTTCCAGAAAACTCCATCCTTCTCCCGCGAACTTCTATCCAGCTCTTACATTGATAAGTCTCTGGACGCCAATTCAAAGCCTAGGGCAAACAGTCAACACATCTTCCATCAAACGATAACTCGAAGATGGAACCTGAACTTGTTCGTTGTGCTTGGCGACTACATAAAGCAATACAACAAAATATGCCATACTCGGGGAAAATAGACGATTCAAGCCGACGTCTTGTTACGCAAATAACACTTTCATATGACTGGCCCGATTTCAGTAAGCCTATACCACATATATCAAATATGGACGTCGAGAAAGATCTGAAGTTCCTTGGGGATTCAATTGTCGCAGCACTTCAAATGTCTCAGACATCGACTTCCAGATCTTTTACAGTCACGGTTGATTCCAAGAAGGAACTCAAGACTGGCTTGTCAACGAAGTTCTACCAAGCAAGGAACAGTTCAAAGATGCAGTAAATGAGGGTTTCGACAGTCGAGAGCAGGCTCAAGCCCGAGTGAAAACTCCAGCCCCTCGTCCAGACCGAGCTCCCTTTCGACCTCAAACACCGGTCCAAAGAATACAAGGAGTAAGCTTTCGTGCTGCTCAAGCACAAGACCCTACAATAATTTAGTTCAACCTCAATTATATACCTCTCGACCCGAACTTGATGCTCGACCACAGGCTGCTGCCCAACCTAAAATACCTACACGATCTGCAGTGCTGGCTCGAGCTCACCAAGTCGAACTCCAGATCAAGGTTATAATGCGGTCCCATATCAGTTCGAGTATAATTACGCCAATACAGTTGATTCGTGTGCTACCAATTACTATCATGGACAAGAGGATGACGATATTCCATTTACGTCTACGAGAAGTTTGGGTAGACACGCATCCATTCGCACTTGCTTCTTCGGCACTTCATTATGTCTTGATAGAGATGGAGAGCGCATCCTGCTCGAAGAAGGAAATTGAGGGAATCATGTGACAGGCACCAACTAGATCTACAGAATCCAATCGTGGAGCCACGAATCTTCGCTGAACTTTCTGGACCTGGAAAAGGCTGAGAAGATATGGCTGAAGTCTGAATATGACTGGTTGGAGTGTATGAATGCGAAGAGGGGGCTAGTTGAAGAGATGTCGTCTTCGAGTACTACCACCAGTAGTTCCTATATTAATATCACAACAATCTTTTACAAATTTCCATCAATACAGGTAACGAACACTTCCAGCACCATATTTGTTGCTTGCATTCTTTTAATCCAGATGTATAGAAAATTGTTATTCAGCCAAGAGATTTGAAATCCCCCGTCGTGTATCACCACTCGATGTCCTCAGTTTATCCACGAGGATGCTAATTCTTCGGTTCTTATTTCTCTTCCCTTTTCGATAACACTATTCGACTCACCATTTAGCTGGACTTTTGGTGTAATTACATCTCTTGCAAAAAGCCACGCTTGCTAGTCCCTTCACAGCTTGCATCTCAATTTTGTGGTAAATATATCTCCGTGGCAGGAAATAATCGAGAAAAAAGCGAGTGGCCAAATTCCACTACTCTGCTAACGAGAGAGTTTCCGTTGGGATATTGTGTTAGTTGTATGCTCAAATTGAGTGGGAGAATACCAGAGGTCCTTGGAAAGAAAATAGTAGGGAGCGAAAGACTTCTAGATACACCAACACTTCCGACTACCATCATTGAAGTACCTAAACTGTTTTAATACATATAATGATACATGGGGGTTTTTTTCTACGGCAAGTTTCCAAGCATTTGAGCCTCAACTCAACCCAGCTATCGCATCCACTGATAACCACTTCGAGTGCACGTTTTTTCTGTGGCTATATACACAAAAAGGGATACAGAGAACTATCGAGAGCTTATTTTTCCACATAATCGATTCCTATAGAAACCAATTATGCAAAACCATACGCTTATCTCAGGGGGAAAGACTCCAACACGGTCTGAAACCACTCTTTTGCACCCGCTCACAACCACCAAATCCCCCATCCAAACATCTTTCCAGGATAGCAAGATCCTCAATCTCAATTGCACAACGCACCAACTTCCAAAAAACATCCAAACAGCACCTCAGACTACTCACTAGCGTCCATCAACCGGCGCAACGACCGAACCCTCGGACGAACAAGGACCCCTTTCCTCCCAACGCGACGGAACTAACCCATTTCCCATTCCTCCGGAATTCCGGGTGTAAAAGCACGACGTGCAACGAACGGTGTGAGCGTTTTCTTCTTTGGGTGTAGGTGATACTTCATCGTGTATTCTATTGGATTGTTGGGTGGTGACACGGTGGTTAGGTAGGTTTGAAAGGGGGCCAAGAACCGAGTCCTCGGACGAAGAGGACGCTTGTTTTTCTTGGTTCTCGGTAGGGACCCCTTGGTTTCTGCGGTGTGGAGTTGTGCGAATGCTTATACTGACTGCAGAGCAGAGTTTGTGGTTGTGTGTAACATGTTCTGGGGGTCGGTGACTGATCATACTTGTGTCGAATCTTTCTGTAGGTAGTTTGCCAGAGGGCTGGGAAGCGTGGTGCATTTTGGTACACGATATGGTTGTACAAAGCGAGCTCGGCTGCAGAGGGATGCTGATTAGCAGGATACTAGGGATTTTGAGAACGCGTTGATATCTGCGATATCCTCGATAGGTGCCTGTTCTAATACTTCCAAAACAACGAATAAACCAAAACTTCTCAAACCCAGATGTTCCAGACTTTTGTCGTCTGTTGGATTGATACATAAGCAGCTTTTTTTGAAGAAACAGACGTTGAGAGTTGGTATCATTGCCTCTCCGTCATTGACGAATCGTAGATACTGTGATGTAGCGACATAACTTGTGTTGTAGTATTTGTAGGATGTCTCAGGTTTGCATCTGTACTCGTCTAACTAGGGTCGTCTCATGTGCTTGGATAGCAGTGTAAATATATTATCAACATACTTTACCTTTTCATAGCTACTAGGATAATTTCTAAATAGGCTGAGATCCCAAGTCAATGTATAAATAGTCCTCTAATATGGAATATTTCTACTATAAAAGGCCTAGTGTTTATTCTACGTATATCTAGGTTAGAATAATCCTATCCTAGAAGTATCGTACTATAAGAACAACTATATAATAATACAAATATTATAGAATAATTATATTTTTCCTTTCTATTTACCTTAGTATCCCTTCTAGAGTACAAAGACCTAGGTACAATATACTATAAGAGATAACGAGACGTAGTCGTTACCCTACATACCTCTCCTATAATAAAATTATTAACAAGCCTCGCTTAACAAAATCATATAATAGCATAGTTCGAACACTAATTCCTTGCTAACTTCCAGCAACCTAGGTATACTAAAATAATAAACTTACATGAACCAAAAGTTTAGTCTAACAACTTTTTATATATTTTATTTTATTTATTTTATTGCTATTTAACGTCAAGCGGAGTCTAGCTCGCGTGGGCTAGGTCCTAGAAGAGTCCCAATATGGGCAAATGACGCTAGGGGGGTGCCCTAGGCTACAGGGGGTGTAAAAGAAGAGACGCTAATTTACAAGAAACAGTTTAAAGAGAAGCCCCACTTTCGGGACAGCCCTTATCCTTAATTAGTTTTGAGAACCAGGGTACAACAAATGAAATACATAAATCAAAGAAAGAAAGAAAAGTAGGCCAGCCTATCTAGGTAGACAAATCTTAGTGAAGAATCTAGTCTTAAAGTAGACCTTATTAAATAGCTCCTCGCAGCCGGGGCCGAAGAGCAGCTGAGGGTTCCTCTGAGCTTCTGCTAGTAGCCTAGGGGCTACGTTGTTTGCTAGCCTACAAAAGAGTAGGTGGAATTGAGACTTAGCCTTCTTACACTTACAATCCCCTGAGGTAAGTAATGCGTCGAAGTGAAAGAAGCGAAGGTGGTAAGCGACAAAGTCTCCATGCCCAGAACGAGCAGCTATTAAGCGAGCTAGAACCTCTCTTGGTAATTGAAGAGACCGTGGCTTCAAAGACCAATTTTCAAGCCCCAGATCCTTATAGACAGCCGGGAGTGTAGCGCTCCAGAGCTTCTTTGCAAGTCCAATCCCTGTTTCTTTAACCCCCCTCTTGAGCGTAGCAGTACAAAGTGGAGAGAGGGAATTAGAAGGGGGTATCCGCGCTGCTTTCCCAGCAGCTCTGTCCGCGATTTCATTGCCTAGGATACCTATGTGACTAGGGCACCACCTAGTCTGTATTTTCCCAGGGTATGATGACGCTAACTCATGGACTGTATTAAAGATCCCTTGCGATGTGCCACAAGACCGGTATGTTAGTTGAAGCGCAGCCTCAAGGTTGTCGAGGCAAATCCAGCACTTCCTAGCCGAAGGCCAGTACAGGGAGTTTGAAGCTAGTTCTAGTCCATGGAGAGCAGCCCTAGCCTCTGCATCATATATCTCCAATGCCTTGCCGAAGGAGAAAGCCTTAGTATTAAGAATAACCCCCCCTCTTGTGAGACATACGCCACCTCCAGTACTTTTGTCGTCTAAGCGAGAGCCGTCGGTAAATACTACCAGATCCGTAGGTGGAACATCAGCTAGAAATTCAAGGAATTTGGCTTTAAAGGAATTCTTGTCTCCGCTAGGGTCTGGTCCCCCACAACTTTTTATATAGTATATACAGAGTAATAACCAGGTCTCTTACTATACGGTAAGAAGGTACTCAGGAAAAACGGTAAGGACAGGGTATATTGCCTACGAACATTAATCTACATATATAGCACAATCTAATTCCGACTCTCATGTACAAACCAAGTATCCATATGCTATGTCCAGTATTCCACCTCTTTCCCGAATGGAAAAAGGAAATGCAAAACCCATTCCCAAAAACGCCATCCCGCTAATGCTTCATACAGTACCTCTCCAACATAACAGACCCTATGTACAGTACATTCTATACAACACATATGCATCCAATAACATCGTCATCATCCCATCATATACAACACTCCCAAATACATCCTCACCAACAGACAAACAAGTATCCTAATAAGTCTCCGGGATCCCAGAAAAATTCAGAATCGCCTTCTTACAATTAAACTGCCTAGTATAAGCCTTCGCCGGTAAGATCCCCGCCTTAAGACCAAGCTGATAACTCCACTGCGTCGCCGCCTCCGTCTTCCAGGTCCAGTAGAACCATCCCCAGCCCTTCTCAAAACTACTCATCTGGGCCTCGGCAAACATCTGCAAGAACTGTTTGTAGGCCGGACTGTAAGAGCCTGAGTCGGCGTTTGCGCTTTTGCAGCTACATTCCGAGTTTTTGGTGGGACATCCGGGGTCGGTGACGGCGATGCTGGGGTCGCCTACGTCGTAGGTGCCTTCCCATCGGTTGCCGATGCCGACGTTGTTCAGGTTGGGGGCGCAGTCTGTGTCGGCTTGGGACCATTCCGCGAAGATGGTGGGACCGAAGCCAGTTGCTACGTTCATGCTTTGCGTTGCTTGTTCGGACCAGCCGTTGCAGGCGTAGGTGACTTTGGCGGTGTGGTTGTAGGAGATTTGACCAGTGTTGAAGATGACATATTGGTGGACGTCGAGAACTAATCCGTCCATACCTGTAAGTTTTCCTTTCCAGTTTGCCAGTCCCATGAAGCCGTCTCCGAAAACGACGTAAGCTGTGATTCCGTTTTTGCGGACTAAGTCGAAAGCTTTGCTCGTCCAGTCTAAGACATCTTGAGTCTTGAGAGCGGTCATTTTCGGCTCGTTGGCGAGACCGTAGAAGGTGATTATGTTTTTGTAACGATCTTGAGCAAAGAACTTTGAGAGGCGATCATGTAGATCCAGAGCTCGTTGAGCATTGACAGCTCCATCTGTACCGTTCAACCATCCAATTGCTCCTAATCGACCGCTGTGGTTCCATCCATTTTGACTTCCCGGCAAACCATGAACATCCAAATTTATTCGTAGCCCATGTTTTCTCGCCCATTCAATACTTCTCAGTAAATAGCGCCACGAAACTCGAGAAACATATGGATCTCCATCATACGTAATCACTGCCCAGTATGAGAATGGTATTCGAACATGATCAAGTCCAGCATCCGCAATATCTATGAAGGTCTGTTCGCTCACAAAGGTTGCATAGTGCTTTTCCAAATTTGCTTTCGCTTGAGATCCCAAGGAGGCCGTCAAAGTCCATTCATCTACTATTCCAGGACCTGAAAATAGAGATGGCGTAATGAAAGGTTCCAACGAGAGCCATCCTCCAATATTTACCCCACGTGCTGGCCTTTCGGAATATGAACCCCATGGTTTATCAATTGCTGGCACGTTCGGGTTCGCACTTTTTGAATCATCCCATGCTGAAAATAAGCCCATTACTGGAAGGTCCCCTACAGTTTCGCTTGTATATGTAACATTGAAATCGGTCGTATCATACCATGAAAACGGGTCGAGGTCTGTTCCCTTCGCCGCTGGGGGAATAGTGTCTTGAGATATGCCTTCGAGATTAGAATTCGAGGGGTTCCCGGAATCGCTTTTTGAGGTTTCGGCGGTCGAAGACTTGTTATTATTTTTACTGGCAACCACCGCAGCTACTATTATAATAATGAGGATTAGAAGAGCCGCGCCGCCAATCATAACTTGAGTAAACAGTTAGCGTATGTCCGAGAACTGCTCCTCCAACCTCACTTACGCATTTTCTTCTTCTTCTTTGCCCCTGCATCCGAAGAATTATCCTCATACCCCCCATTCCCCCCTCTCAACCCCTTCAGCTTCCTACTATCTCCCTCCTCTAACAGCGCCCCACTAACAACCCTCCGCTTCTTCCGTTTATGCTGTTTCCTACTCCTATCCCTATCCCCACCACCCTTCTCATCCACAACCTCAATTCTCTTTTTCTTCCTCGGTTTCCTCGGTGCCGTTTCTGCAGCTCTCGCCCGGTCCCTCTCTGCCCTCTCCGACCTCTCATATTGGTTTATCAAATTAAGCTGTGCAATCGCATTCGCAGACAGAGGCTGGGAACTTGATTCCGAAGATTTGGTGGCATGTCTAGATTTCCTAGGTGACTCGCTATCGGTCCTCCTTCTTCTTTCGCGCTGTGGATTACGACTTCGTTCTCGTGTTTCTCTTGATTCTCGTCTTTCCCGTCTTGGGGACTCTGGAGGAGGCATTCTTTTCGTGGTCCGTTATACTCGTTCTCTTCGTAAAGGTAGCAATTGATCTTTTGATACGGAAAGGAACAATGAATAATACATGAACGGAAATTGTCGTCGTGGCCTTTCTTGTCGTGTGCCTTGGTTGGATAAGCTTGTTTTTTTTGGTAGACTTGCGGTAAAAAGAGGTGGTTGGCCGGGAAATCGGCATTCAGGGTGACCCCCACACCACCTACGCCATCGCAATATCAAACCTTCATTTTGCAGATCCCAACTGTACCACCTTATGTTTAACTCAATTTAAGCATATTCGTATGCCCAATTTCTACGCTGAAAGAAATGAGAGCTCTCCTGAAAAAGCGCAGAGGTAAGTGTATTCTGACATATTACCCACGGATGGCCATCCTCTGGAAGTGAATTACGATCAAAAATCAATTGAGTTCCCATTTCACTTCAACCCCTCAAATAGAACGCCTTGTATGATATGTTAAAAGGAAAACAAATACCAAAACAATACTACTAATGGAAAAACAAAATGGCAAAAGGCATGGACCAGTCATACTCATCTGAGGTAGTTCTAACACAGCATTAATTGTCTGTCTTTCTTTCTTCTTGGGCTGGCAAACACAGCCCAAACGACTGAACTACAGAGGCTCAGGGGTACACCTGGTTTATTGACAGGAAAGGGCTAGAATAAGCTTATCCCAACTTGTGCATGGGGAGTAGGTTGGATGGAAGCGTCATATTTTAATAGGAAAAACAGTTAGTATCATTAATGGTTGGAAGGCTCAGTGGTTGCTCTTGCTAGCCAGCTCAACAAGCAGCAGAGAATTGGATATACCTGTGCATCTTTTGTCTTTGATTTTGAGACTCGGCTTACTCCATATCTCATTTCTCTACTACGAATACTGCTCTCTGTGCTCTACTTATTACAATCCATCTTTTACTTCAAAGTCTCCCAGAGACTTGCTTTGCAATTCTGTTGTTAACGTTCAAAACATCAATTGTTTATCGAGTGGATTGGAGAGGGCAGCGAGTATTTTCTATCAGGCTATTATCAGAGATCACTTTTAAGCTTTGATATCAGTATTACAACGGTGTAGAAGTCCGATTCCATCTGAAAAATTCTTTGATACACTCTTTACAGCAGTCAGTCTTCTTCAACAATGTGTTTTGTTTCACTACTCGTACAGTACTTGTACCTTTCGCTTCACCCCAGATTTCGTATGCGCCAAGCACATGGACGGCTAACATCGGTAGAGGGGAGCCAAGAGGACCCCGAAACAAGAGTAGAGGTACTTCATGAACTACTTGCCAGTCGCACACCAGATCTGTTGAACATGAATTCTACCCAGGATTCAGTAGTACCGCAGATCCAGAAATATGTCGGTAACACCTAGAATTGCAATTGCACCATTCAAGAGAATCGCTCTCACAAAGTCACTCATTCCAAGTACCTACAAGTACGCAGCCCAACGACCCCGCTACTATTCCTCTCTTCCTCCCACAGCCCGACTCAACATCCCCACGGATTTCTCTACCACTCCTCTTCTCGCCCACAGACCGCAGTCGGCGCTCCAGAATAATGAGTTGGAGGAGGAGGTCAGGAATGGGACGACGCAGCAGATGAACCTATTCCAATCCATCAACGATGCTCTGTCCATAGCCTTGGCTTCCGACGATTCAGTCTTGTTGTTCGGAGAAGACGTTGCGTTTGGGGGCGTTTTCCGATGTAGTATGAACCTGGCCGAGAAATACGGGACAGAAAGGGTCTTCAATACCCCATTGTGTGAGCAAGGGATCGTTGGATTTGCAATTGGCGCGGCGGCAGAGGGAGCAAAGGCCGTTGCGGAAATCCAGTTTGCGGACTACGTATACCCAGCTTTTGATCAGCTCGTCAACGAAGCTGCAAAGTTCAGATATAAGGATGGGCAGGCTGGTCGGAACGTTGGTGGGTTGACAGTGAGAATGCCATGTGGTGGTGTTGGTCATGGAGCACTGTTCGTCGTTCAAGTCTCCCCAGTTTGGCCCTACTAATAGATTTCTTGCAGATACCATTCTCAATCTCCTGAGAGTCTGTTTACTCACATCCCCGGCCTCCGCGTCATAATGCCCCGCTCCCCGATCCAAGCGAAAGGCCTCCTCCTCTCCGCAATAGCTAGCAAAGACCCATGTATATTCATGGAACCCAAAGCCCTTTACCGTGCAACCGTAGAACATGTTCCAACAGCCCCCTATACTCTACCCCTTTCCAAAGCCGAAATCTTGAAAGAAGGATCAGACTTGACAATCGTCTCCTATGGACATCCTCTCTACACATGCAGCTCCGCGATCGAAAAAGCAGAGAAGGATTTCGGTATCAGTGTAGAATTGATAGATTTACGGACTGTGTATCCATGGGATAAAGAAACTGTTTTAGTAAGTGCTAGGAAAACGGGAAGATGTCTTGTTGTTCATGAGAGTATGGTTAACGCCGGTATTGGTGCGGAAGTCGCGGCTAGTATTCAGGAAGATAAAGAAACATTTATCAGATTGGAGGCTCCAGTCATGAGGGTTGCGGGGTGGAGTACTCATATGGGTCTTTTGTATGAAAGGTTCAATATTCCGGATGTTGCAAGTGAGTTTCTTCCTTTCTTGGATCCTGATATGGGAAATTGGAATGCTAATTGGCCGTAGGGGTTTACGATACTATCAAAAAAGCGATTGAGTATTAATGATGGTTTTTTATGATGGCAATTCTTTGGGGAGTGGGCATTGGATGGCGTTAAGAATTGAAAGACTAGGCATTCGCATTTGACGAAAGGCTACTCGATTAGGGAACTGTTACCAAGAGGTAGTAATCACTATTTGGATATGGGTATTTGGTGCATTCATGGAAGAAAGAGAGCGAGTCAAGGCCTGTTGCTTGTAGACTTTTCGTGTGTAGAGTTCAACACATTTCAGGTCAAATATAGCTTCCCATGGATTTTCTGGGCTGGAAGCCAAATCATTCTATGTCCTCTTAACGTGAAGAAAATGCTTACTGCTGCAATCTGAGTCTTGGGCCCTCGAAAGGTGGCCAATTATTGGCGTCGTAATCAAAATTGGGAGAAATAAAAATTAATGATTATTTTGATGTTTAAGTAATAAGGTTAATAGTTCTAACGTTTTAAGACAATTGAATTGCTTGAAGTTTAGAGAAACATTCCATGTTGCTTCCTGAACAAGGCTGAGCGCCACACTTCCAACGCCCGACGCCACATTGAGGGGTCCTCCGCCTGGCTCGCCTCACATTCAACATCCACAAGCAACACCATACCTCTGCGTTGAGCTTTCTGGGGTGCTCTACAAAGCATATTCTGGGTTACTAGAAGACTACAGCCATGTCACAGCTATCTACAGTTTCCGCATTCGTGGAAGGTGCACCTCCTGGAGAGGTAAGTCGACACTCATGCCGCACCAAAGCTTCTGCTAACTCTCCCCAAGCTTGCAGATGTTATCGCTGGTACGAATATATTCCTGCGTGCTTCAAATACCTTGCTGAAACCGCCAAAATAGACATTAAAGCTCTGACGATCGATACGCCCGGCCTGGTTTCGCAGCTTGGACCTGCGTTCGAGAAATACAATGAGGAACAATTCGCGACGGTGAAGCTGCCGGGCGGCAGTCAACATGTTCGTTCTTAGAAAAGATTGGATTTGGAAAGAGGCTAATGGTGTTGAAGGTTATTGTCAGCTCGCATAACTCTTTGGGTGATGGAAGATATTATGACGTGGAGAGCTCTTCCAGTTTTGCTTTCGATCATGCTACGCAGGTAGGCCATTCCCTATTCTGGGCCACAACAATACTGGAATATGTATCTGACGACATATAGAAAGCAAGCGCGGTTCAGAGCCATGTTCTGGAGAGCAGTCAATTGGATCTCATGTACGTTGCTGTTAAAGGAGGATGCAGATGATTTTTCCCGCTAACATTTCATCTCAGCAAATCGCTCCTCAAAAGTTTAGGCTCCCATTGCAGCGAGCACTACCCTAATTCCTCGTATGGTGTCTACCCAATAGAGAATGACTCGGATATCGCAATACTCGTTGTTGCAAACAAGTACAGCCCAAACAACTTCTGGTAAACCAGCCAGCCCATTCCTTGGAGGATTCCAGCAACTAATGGAAAACAGGAATGGTCGATGGCGATCGCTCTACGTATACTCCCCCTCTTCCTCGCAACTGAAAGGCAGCCTGAAAGTTGATGTCCATTACTACGAAGATGGAAATGTCCGTCTCCTGACAACGAAACCCGTTTCCGCCTCCATATCGACCGCGTCCGCTTCAGCAATCATGCGAGAAATTGCCGTAGCGGAAAAGAAGTACCAGGAAGAAATCAACAAAGGGTTCAGCAGTCTTAGCGAAGGAGCGTTTAAGGGGCTTCGAAGGCAGTTGCCAATCACAAGACAGAAGATTGAGTGGGATAAGATTGCGGGGTATCGTCTCGGTCAAGATATAGGTGGGGGTAGCTCGAGAAAGTAGGCTGAGGAGGGATAGGGTTTAGGTTGATAGCGAGCGTTACTTGTGTGGTGGTGTCCGTACACGGAAACCATTGATTAGGTACGAATGCGAACTGTCTAACATAAGCATTTCGCCCTCGGCCTCGGACTTCTTCCGAGAAGACGCAAGAATCTTTTCTATCTGCTCATTACTGAATTGGGGCTACCAAAGAATCCAAAAAGTAAGAGAGAAAAGGCCACCTATGCCTTGAAATTAATGTTTGTACGAGTAAGACGATAGATGTGTATTGGTAGAACAACGTTTCTGTCATCACAGCACAAAATACCAGATAAGTATACAATTTTTCTACATTTTTCTAGGTCGTGGAACGCCGTGTCTTTGTATAGACCAATGTGACCAATCAGCGTGGGTTTATTTGTTAGCCCGGAACCCGGAGGGCTTCCATCTCCCCACACTAGCAGGCCCGACAAGCCAAATCCCCGTATTATCGGCGGTTGACATTCGGGATTAACGGGGGGGCATCTCACAGGTTAACACTCGACCACCTTCTGCCCAATTCGAAGAGTGCCCAGGGTCCAACGCCTTTCTTCATACATCTGTCCGTGCAATATCGCAACGCAACTATTGAACACATTGCCTGTTACTCAATTCCTCTCACCTGCCATTCTCTACTCAAGACCACTCGCACGCAAACCCTCCGACTGGATCCCTATCTCTCGGCGGCCCATTCGCTATCAGACACCGATTCCATTCGACGAATCTTCGACGCTCCGGAGACGGTAACACATATCACACCTTTTGACACGATGTCGGAATCCAAGGTCTTTACTTATGCGGAGGTTTCCTCACACTCGGGCAAGAAGGACTTGTATATGGTGATTCATGATAAGGTTTATGATACGACGGCATTCGTTGATGAGCATCCGTGAGTTTATCTATCTTCTGTCTTTCTGGCGTTTTTTGTTGGGTGCTTGATATCTTCCTTTTTGCCGGACGATGCCGAGGTCGGTTTGTCGAGATTGGGGATGCGGTATACTTTCCGCTTAAGGGGTCTCGAGAGGAGAGATGGATGAGGATATCAGGATTTGTTTGGGGTATGTGGACTGTTGGCTTCTCGTCGAGGGACGAGGGCGGGCAAGTCTGTTGGGTGGAAGCCTTTCGGATGCACATAGCCTTGTACAAACCCGCCATAGGGATATCTCTATACTGCAGTGCAGATACCTGCTGGAGTTTTGAAGCAAGAATACATCACTAACTTCCTCGCAGAGGTGGAGAGGAAGTCCTACTCGATGTCGGTGGACAAGACGCAACAGAAGCATTCGAGGATGTCGGACACAGTGACGAGGCCCGAGAGATCTTGGACGGTCTGTTAATCGGGGACTTGAAGCGTGTGGTAAGTTCTCTCCTCTCCCCATTCCCTGCTCAAACCACAAGAAGATCCAAATCCTAACCGCTTTCTCAACAGGAGGGCGACCCTAAACCAAAGGTCTATGATGCCGCCGACAGCCCATCACCATCCGCCGAGCCCAGTATGGGTCTCGGTCTCTACGCTATTGTTCTCCTTGGTGGTGCTGCTGCCTTTGGTGCCTACAAATACATGCAAGCCCAGGAGGGAAAGACCGCATAAGATGGGAGTCTTTTGTGTGGAAGATTTCCTGAGATTTGGTTAGCTGGTTGCTTTCACGATGGATGGAAGGAAGGATGGATGGATGGGTTCTCTATGACGGGGATGATGATCTTTCCATGATGGTTCAATTGAAATAATGGAAATTTCATGGATTCCGGAATGTCGGGACCTGGGCTGGGGCGGGCACACTTTGATGCAAATTCTACGTATGAAAGATAATAGATTCTGTGGTTACTTTTACAATTCTTTTTATTTTTTTTGTGTGTGTTTGGTTTGGGATGCTCTTTTAGGGGTGGATACAGGTGGATGTTATCCTTCTAGTATAATCATAGATGTCCGAGGGGATTCAACACCTCCCACTGAGATAAGATGACTCGCAAATACAACCAATTACAGATTTGAAATGTGCGGATGTGCAAGGTTGGTCGAAGAAGAATGAGATTTCACATTTGAGTCGGTACTGTACGAGTATCGACTTCTCGTGACTACCTACCTACATACTCGAACTTGATGAGATGGATGGTGTGGATTAAGTACCTACCTAGTTTGAATACCTAGTTTAATGAGGAGTTAATACTTGTACAGAGGAACAGAGCGAGTCGGGGAAGTATTGTTGTAGATGAGTGGGTTTATTTGAAAGATTGAGGCTCGAGGTTATATACTGTACTGTAGCACATGTACTGAGGATATAGTGGAGATAGTGGATATTAGTGGTCCAAGGATGGAAAGTAATAAAGGGATATAGGTACACGAATTATAACGTGAGGGGATGAAAGAAATAGTAAGTAACTAGGTAAGTGTGAAGTACCCATAGCAAGGTTACGCGGATATTTCGGAAATTGAGATTAAGAGATTGTTGAGGTGTGAATTGTGAATTGTGGTGTACTTGAGAATTGGGATGGTGGTTTTCTAGTGTGTTGAATCGTTGGTTTTACTCGAGTACTGTGGTTGTTTTGGGGATGGAAAGCATGGGGAGGGGAGGATGTGTGAGAGGTGGAGGTGGGGGTAAATGATGATTGGATTGGATGTACTCGTATATGAAGCTTTGATAGGTGAAATTATAGATGAGATGAAGTGAGGGAGTAAGGAAGTAAGGTAAGTTGATATTGTCAAAATAGGAATAGCTTGAAAAATAAAATAAAACTACAATCATAACCTCGGCGGCGCGCTCCCGTAGCCTTGTTTCTCAGCCTTGGGCTCTAAGCGAGCTCAAATATAGGTAGAATACCGTACGCAACTCTTCTGCCTTCCCATCGACAACCCATAAATCAACCGACGACCTACCAAGTTCTCTCCAAACAAATCTCGTTATAGTTGTTGAAAACTTTAACAAGGCTGTCAAGAGAAATAATAAACCGCCAAAATGGCAACGCCCTACGAAGGTACTTAACCATCTATCTACCCCGTCAACCCCTCTATGAACGTAAAAACAAAAGCTGATCTTTTTCTACTGTAGTTGAACACAATATTAAACCCTCCGGCACACCCAAACCCAACATTCGTCCCGACATGTCCTCCCTCTTCGCGCTCCTCTCCGAGATCCAATCCACAAACCCGCACTCCCTGCCCACACCCGCCGACATCCTCGCGTCGGAACGCCTCGTCGCCGACCAACTAAACCAGCACCTCATCAATGCATCCTCACCCACCCAAACCGCATTCCTAGAATCGCTTCTCCAAGAAATATCGCACACCATGGAGTCGCCGCCGGAAAAGATCCAGGGTGTACCGCAATCTTACCTAGATGAGCTGGAGCGGGTGCCGAAGAAGCAGTTGAAAGAGGAGGACCGGTGTCCTATTTGTCAGGAACGGTTTCTGGGCGATGACTACCCGCTGGTGGTGGTGTTGCCGTGTCATGGGAGTCATCGGTTTGATCTGGAGTGTGTGGGTCCGTGGTTGTTGGTACATGGGACGTGTCCGATGGATCGGAAGGAGGTTATGAAGAGGAAGGTGGTGGAGGTGGTGGAAGATAGTGAGGAGGAGGATGATGGGGGATTGTATGCTTGAGTTTCTATTCTGGGAGGGGCGTTCGTGGGAGAGAGTGAGGGGTTAGGAATGAATGAATGGGTTCGAGCGTTGAGCGAGCGGGTGGGTGTTTGGCGTTTCATTGGTGATGGTGAGTGATGATGGCGACAGTGGGATGGTTCCTGAAAGCATTGAAAGCGATGTCTAGGTGGTCAAAAACTGGTACCGAAGGTTTTGGCCACTCTTAAGGCTGACGGCGGGTTGCAGCATTGTTGTCTACCCAACCTTCGCCTCGTCGCAAGAATTGGCGACATCAGTGAGGATAGGAGGATCAAAGGCCCTTGATTGGCCTCGGCACAATGAAAGTTGTATGAGAATCAGCCATCAAAAAGTTTGACATCAGCCCAGAGTGGTTTTGCGCATTGGAGATAAATTTAATCTCGTTGTCAGTCTCGATAGCCGATCCGGTCTCACAAATCTCAAGCTCTACTTCTGGTATATTGGACCATTTACGCGGTGGCTGACTCTTGAATGTTTCCTTGCCACAAGTAGTGGAAGGTGTTGAAGTATATTGAGTTTCTTATTTCTGTGCCAAGCTTCCGTGGTTGTTCTACTTTACGAGTAGGGCTTAGGGCCTACTCGCTACTCTACTGTCATAGCGTCGACCTTAACCTCGACCTGCACCAGCCAAGCGGAACTAGCATGCGATGTAGTACATAGTGACTTTGAGGCGAAGTTCTGCGTCACTTCTCCCCTCGCTTCTATTTTCAACTTCATGCCCTGACCTGGATTTCAAGATTCTTTAACGCAGAGCTCAACTACTCGACTTGCGCTACAGACCATGATCTCTGTAACTCAATTGTCTGTTGTCGTTGGTCAGGGTAGCATTCGCTTGGGACGCTTCGCCGAATAAGCGGGTGAGGTTTCTATCGGAACACCGAAAATCGCTGTTATCATTACCTTTTGCCTCATTCGTCCCAGCAAAACTGTTTGATGGAGATCTTGATATACGTCATGTTCATTCGCCAATCTGTGAAAAGATGGGGGTCCAGCGGAGATATATCTAGATATCAATTTTCCCATACTCCTATGGGCGAATCTATATTTCGATATCTACTTGTGTACCTACATCTTACATATTCACCATTTCGTTTTGCACTTGCGAGATTCCAGAAAAATGTCGGAACCTGATCCCGTACGCATCGAAACCAATATCTTGCCCAAGCCCAAACTCATCATCGTATTCTGCGGTCTAGCATTCTCCCTCCTGATATCCTTCGTCGACCAAAACTCCATCGGAATAGCTTTACCCAAAATCGGAGAAGAGTTAAATGCGGCCACAACCATTGCATGGGCCGGTACGTCTAGTTTGATTGCCAATACCGTATTTCAAGTTTTGTATGGACGACTTAGTGATATCTTCGGACGCAAAATTGTCTTTCTTTGCGCGGTTGGTTTGCTTGCCTTGGGGGATTTGTTGTGTGGATTTGCACGGTCGGGACCGCAGTTGTATGTTTTCAGGGCCATTTCTGGCGTGGGAAATGGAGGCATTACGGCGTTGACGATGATGATTGTTTCAGATGTTGTGACGCTTGAGGATAGGGGGAAGTATGTATCTTCCCCGACCCTTTCTTTACATCGAACCCTCAATTAACATATTTCTCTAGATATGGAGGGATTTTGGGTGCTTGTGTGGGACTTGGGAATACCATTGGTCCGTTTCTAGCAGCAGCTTTTGTTCAGAATTCGACATGGCGAGGCTTATTTTGGCTTATCTGTCCCACGGCTGTCATTTCTGGGATTCTGGTCGCCTTTACTCTTCCTCCAAGCAAGGTCCACGGCAGTACGAAGGAAAAAATCAAAGCCATCGACTACTACGGCACCATCTTCAGTTCAGCAGCAATCATGCTCCTCCTCATCCCTATCTCAGGAGGAGGGACCTACTTTGCATGGTACAGTCCGATGGTCATTTCCATGATTACTCTGGGAAGCATCTGTATGCTCATCTTCCTCATTGTGGAATGGAAATTCGCCCGCATGCCCATGATGCCCCTACGACTCTTCCGCATCCCAGCCGTAGCCGCGATCATGGCGCAGAACTTCCTCTTGGGAATCGTGTACTATAGTCACCTCTACTACCTGCCCATCTACTACCAAGAGGCACGTCAATTCTCGCCTATTCTCTCTGCAGCCCTCACGATCCCTCTCGTGGCGAGCCAATCCGTGATGTCTGTTCTCTCGGGACAGTATATTAGTCGAACTAAGAGATACGGAGAAGTGATCTGGGCGGGCTATGCATTATGGACTCTAGGCGCGGGTCTGATGTTACTCTGTACTCGCACCACTCCTCAGTGGCAAATCGTCATCTTCCTCCTCATTGAAGGTGCAGGCGTGGGATTTGTTTTCCAACCTACACTTGTAGCAGCCCAAGCACACTCCAAGAAAGCTGATCGCGCGGTGGTCATTAGTGTACGGAATTTTCTGCGTCAATTCGGTGGTGCATTGGGTCTCGCTATCTCCTCTCTTGCCTTCTCCAATTCCTTGAAGGACTCCTTTGCTCTGATTGCATCTACCCTACCCATGGGATACGTGGACCAAGTTCTGGCTTCTCTTCTGAGTATTCCTAATATCGCGGCGTTGGATGCGACACAAAGAGAGGGGGTCCTGAATGCGTACATGAGTGGTAGTCGGACCGTTTTCTATCTTTGGGCTCCGATTATGGCAGTTTGCTTGGGGTTGTGTGCGTTTATTAAAGACAGGGGATTGCAGAGGGAGGAAGAGAAGAAGATTGATGACGATGATAATGAGCCGAATAGTTTTTATACGGATTTGGACGAGATTTGGACGAGGGTTCAGGAGGTGAGAGGGGGGTACTGGAGATGAAGGGATGGGTCGCTTATGAGATGTAAATATTGTATATATGTATATAGATGCCATAGATTCTGGATATATATATATAAAAAATAAAATATTAATCATTTGAATGCAACTATTTCATCGCGTAATGCTCCTTGGATTAAAGAAAGGCACACAAAAATCAAGCATCAGCCCTCCCGATTGTGTCTCCGATCGCACACCGATGCGGCGGGGTAGATCCGAGTCATTCGGCGCCTCTAAAAGACCTTCATCCCGACCCATCCAAAAAGTTATCAGAAGTTCGTCAACACCAAGAATCCGAGCCATTGAGCGGCGCCCACCCTCTCGCACACCCCCAAAGCGATGAGTGTCTCACGCCCCGCAAGATGTCTCCTCTCCGTCCCCTCAATACCACGCTTGCACCCACGTCTGGGTCCGCGAACCTTTCACACGACGCCTAAACTCGCAGAGCGCCGCCGACCACGATACACCAGCATCAAAGCCTCCGACCCGGCTCTCATAGAGGCCCAACGCAAGGCCAAGGTCGAACAGGCACGGGAAACGTTCAAGGCGTATACGGCCGAGGAAAAGGAGTTTCTTGCAAAGCAGTATACGCCGGAGCAACTGGCCGCTATCGAGGCGGGAGAGAAGGCGATTGACCCGGTGGATTTGGATGCGCGGGGTGTCATAAGGTCGGATTGGGGGAGTCTGACGTACGTGGATGATTTTGCGACGAGGCGGCCGTTTGTGGATAAGAAGGCGAGTGCGTTTGAGGGGCCGGTGGATCCTAATGCGAGGTTGATGACGCTGGAGGAGATGAGTCTGGCGGATGCGGAGTATGAGTGGAATATTATACAGCAGAATCCCCAGGAGAAGGATTTCCCGTTCGATGATCCGGTGAGGCGGGCGGAGGCTCGTCCTAGTCGGACGGATTTACTCAAGTCGTTTGATGAGGTGCCGATTACGGTGGGAAGTCATGGTCCTATATCGCCTAAACACCAATCTATTGTTGCGCCTATGCTTCCAATTGGTATTGAAGCTGCTGTGGACGGAACTGGGAAGCAGGTGGGGGATGAGGAGGCGGATGTACGAGATCCGGATGGTGTCTACGATTTACTGCGGCGACAAACTGGTCTGACATTGGACCAAATTTTCGAATACAGAGTCAAGATTCTGGTGCAACATCGTGTTGTTAATCAAACCCGTTTGGGCAAGATTCAGAGTCTGTACTGTCTGGCCATTTGCGGAAATGGAGAGGGCAGATTAGGGATTGGAGAAGCGAAGGGTCAGGAAACAGAGGATGCTATGAAGAATGCGAGGATTCAGGCGATCAAGAATATGAAGCCTATACCCCGGTACGAGAATCGTACAATTTATGGAGAAGTAGAGGGGAAGGTGTCGGCAGTGGAGGTTAAACTTATGAGCAGGCCACCAGGTATAACTTCCCAGCCTAAAAAAACATTCTATAATCGCTAATAAAATTACAGGATTTGGTCTTCGTTGCCAGCACCTGATCTTCGAGATGGCTCGCGCAGCCGGTATCCAAGATCTCGCCGCCCGAGTCCCTAGATCACGAAACAAGATGAATACAGTAAAAGCCACATACCAAGCATTGATGAAGCAACGCATACCCGACGAGATCGCCAGGGGACTGGGAAAGAAGCTGGTGGATGTGAGGAAGGTGTATTATGGTGGTCGTGTATAATGACTTGTACTGTACAAAGCTTTTTTCGACATACTGTAATGCCGATGTGTAGGAATATGAGATGGTGCAGTAGCATGTTTGCATGGATGGGCATCCACGGAAGCGCATCGTCAATGGGAAAACCTACAACTCCTACTATATTCTGCGAGGGTTTTGCTTGTATTGTGTTGTGTTTTGTTGTGTGATTTTTGCTTGGGGGTATCATCAAAAATCCCTCTGAACGCCGTGATATCCCAGGTCATTTCTCGTTACTCATTCATCCATCCATCCTCCCGTCATTCTTCCTTAGCCCCTCCTCCCTCCATACAATCTCCCATCCTCTCACACCCAACCCAAATCCCCTCCTTCCATATCCCCATTCCCCTCCAATCCCCCCAATCAACCACCCCATTCCCCACAATCCACACCTCACCGCCCCTCCCCCTCCACACTCCCCTCACTCCCCTCCCCATCCTGTATCTCCTGCTGCAAAACAATACTATACACACTCGCCTTCAACAGGGTAAACACCAAACTCGTTTTCCGCTCCAACTGTCGCAGGCCGTCGAGGATCTCGGCGGTGGGGGTGTTGGATAGGGTTTCGAGGTGGGTTGCTAACTTTTTGTTTTTATGTCAGTCCTGGGTCTGCTGTTTGTTTTTGGATTGTGAGATGAGGGGTTGTCGGGGGGAGATGAGGATTGGGGGGAGGGGGTGAGGGTGGAGGGTGTGAGGGTGTGAGGAGGAAAGGGTGAAGGGGGTGAGGGGGAGAGGGAAGGGGAAATACTTTTCTCATGTTCTCGGCTAGGCGTTCGTATTCTTCTAATACGTCTTGTTCTAGGGGTGTGAGGTCCTCGTTTTGGGAGGGGGTTGGGGAGGGGGGGGGAGAGGTTGTGGACATTTTAGTTGAAGGTGTTGGGTTGGGTTGGCGGGTTGTTGTGTAATGTTTGAGGGAGTTTGGTGGTTGACTTTGTGTTTGTGGAATATGTGAGGTTGTTGGAGTGTTGATGGGGAGCTGGAGGTGGACGCGCTGGGAGGTTTCGAGGTTCGCGTTTGGCGGGGTTATTGGGCACGTGATTAGTGTTTATTCTTCATAGGTAGGTACGAGTACATCCATGATAGATGTGGGTTTTTTGATGGGTGAAGAGGTAATAAAGAATACATTCATGGATTTCGTTATTCTGTTTGTTGGTTTTTTCAAGATTTCGTATCAAATCCCTTTCCTATCCAAACAATTCAAAAAAAAAGAAACAGGAAAAGCCATCCCAATTCCCTCATTCCAAGCTCATAGATCTCATTAAATCCCATTTCTTTCTTTCCGTTCCCTTTGAATCCAAATGAAATTACTCAAGAAGCTGCAATTCCTCCATAATACTCTGATCCTCAATCATCACCCTCATCACATCCTCCTGCGGGAAGTTAACCCAATACCCACTCTCCACCACCAACTTCTTGGCCGAAAAGATCTCCTGTGCAACCCCCTTCACCTGTCCGAATGCCTTCCCAGCAGACGGCCAGACCTGCCACAACGTCTTGAGCGCGCCGGTGTTGAGACGGAGTTGCTGCTTCAAGTCGTCGTCTTGCATGTACGGCATCAGAGCGGACCAGATGGAGAGATGCACGATGGATCCGAGGGTTACGACGCAGGTGAAGAAGTGCGTATGTTTGACCAGGGGAACGGGTAGAGAGATGAGTTTGGAGATGTCTTGCGCGGCTTGGACCATTTTTGCGGCGTGGATGTTGTAGCTTTCTCCCGGGATGATGGGTTTGTGGGGGGCGCAGGAGGTTACGTTTTTGGCTACGCTGGAGTCGAGCTCGGAGTGTTCTCGGTGGAGGACGACTGTGGTTCTGTTTTGGGAGTGAGTATGCTATATTGCATTTCATATTATATAGAACTTACGCTTCGGTGATCATGTGTGCTTGGAAGAGCATCTCATCCAAAATACCTTCATTGCTGATAAATGCCTTCTTGTTGTCGGGTAGATGCAGTCTCCAAGCTACAAGATGGTTGTCCACTCTCAGAACTGATTCTCTATCTGGCAATGCTGTTGGACTTGGTCGAGATGATAGGACTCGACCAAGATTTCTCATCGCGGCAATTCTATAGGTGAAGGATGAAAATGCAAGCTCTTTCGAATCGAAAGATTGGTCATCAAAGTCCTCGAGTGAGCGAGATGGCGGAATGAACTATACTGGTCAGCGATGTAGTCAAGAATATAGATATCATTCATACCCCCGAGGAATACTCCTTCTCTTCACATGGGAGCAAGACATCCGCGGGCATGTCCTTCATGCGGAAATCACTCTTCTGATGGACTCCCGCAATCATCCCATCAACTATATATAATTCCCACCAAGTTCGCCGCCAACTCTCTTCAAGCATATGTGAACCATTGCTGTTGAGAAAGGCAAAATCGCGCTTGTTCATCCCGATTTCTACAGCCAAGTCCTGTGCATCTAGTAGAATCTGCAACGCCTTTTCCTGGAAGGTGTACCCATCGAGTCCAATGGTAAGGGTCAACATGGCCTGAACTCTCACGGCGTCTTTGGGACAATCGGCATGGTATATAGCACGTTCGGCTTCCAATCCCAATGCGGTGGTTGGTGCCTGTGAGATGTAGAAGGAGCCAACATAACGCATGGCCGCCAGGAGACATTCCATCGGCCGCTCATTTCTCAAAATCATGAACTGGGTTCGAGGAAGAATAAAAGGGTGAGCCGCATGGAAATGGTAGAAGAATGCCTCGATACATTTTTCTCGAATGTCCAATGCCGACGACGACGCGAGCTCCTGGTGGCTAGCATCATACAAAAGAGGAGGATCAATGGGATTGGTTTGTGGTCGATGGTCTGGGGGTGTGGCCAGGCCGGTTGCAACATGGCCATGGGGACCTCTTCCAGCGTTGGGGTTGACCATGGGACAGCTCGAAGCTGCACCTACGCCTACGCCGCCTGGAGCAGCTGCGGGGATTTTGCCCTGAACCCCATTCTTTCGAGGGCCCTTGAAGCCTCGACGACTCTTGACGTAGATGCACTCAAAGCTGTTTGCGGAACATCGTGTACACGGACTCAGGCCATCGCACTTTAGATGCTTGGAGCGACACTGCACGCACGCTGAGGGCACGGTGATACGCTCCTTGTTCTGCTCCGCGGCAGAGGCAGAGGCAGAGGAGGCTGCGGCCGAAGAAGAAGAGCCAGAGCCAGAGGCAGAGGCAGAAGCAGAGCCCGCGGCCGAGGTGGAGTTGTTCGACGACGAGATGCTTTGCTGGCGTTCGCCTCCTGGATGTTCCTCGGTGGGTGAGGTTGTCGTGGTGGATGTGGTGGTGGTGGTGGTGGAGGTTATCGGCGAATGGCCCAATTGCAAGCTCGGATGGCTGGAGGTGGCCGAGGAGGGTGTGTCTGGAGTGGCCGTAATTATAGAATTGGAAGGCTGCTGCTGCTGCTGCTGCCGCTGCCGCTGTTGCTGCTCCATCATCGCGGCGGTAGAAGAGCTGGCTGGATTTGGATTCAAGGCATCCGCTCCGGTTGGGGGCTTCACAGACCAAGACATGGTTGATGGATGGGTGTGAGGGGGAAACTCACGGCAGTGGTTGTATGCAGTCAAGTCGGTCCCTCTGCTTACGATGGGAGAGAAAAGTACGAGGAATTGTGGGCAATGGTTACATCCATGTTGAGAGTGTAAGACATTCTTAGCTAAGATGATACGACTCCCCCCTTTTTGCTTAACGAGACACTGCGACAACTGAGCCGCCTTCACTTCAGGTCGCCGACCTGCAATACAGGCTGAGAGGTTGGAATCAATGAAGATTTGGAAATGGAAAAAAGACTTGACTGATACTCGGAAAACTGCACGTGGTAAAATAAGTTTATTGTGAGGCCTTATGAACTTTGGTGGATAATAACAATACAATTCATCCAAACTTTGCCTGAGGTCCGGACGAGAATCGAGTCTCCTCATTGGAGTGTTTGGTGACACAGGAATGTCTACAAGAAAGAACGGGATGGGTTTATCAACATCACGTGTGAATTCATACCTCCTCAATCGAAATCTTTCATGAAAGCATTGTGGGAATGTTACTAGAAGTTACTCCATGTATAGTGAGAATGAAGACATGGACTGGATCATATGAAATAGGATAGAAACCAGAACACATGACCGGATCGATATTTCGGGTTACATCACTAGGTAAACAGGAGATCGGTCGATCTCGTGAAAAGGATTTTCCGCGTAACTTGAGTAGTAACTTGAGTAACTTTCCTACATTTAAAAACAATGTAAGATACCTGGTCGTTACTCTGTACACACTATATACAATTCTATTATGCTAAACTTACAGTATAAGTAAGATAATTGTCTTTCGATACCTAGGTCAGTGAAAAGTAAGAGTTAACAATTATTCAAGCTCTTTATAAACTATTTTAATTGTGCGATGTTTTCAGAATAGTTTATTCTAAGAGAGGCGTGTACAGAGTAACGACTATGTATCTTACCATGCGTGCCTATCCTATTCCAAGTCATTCCAAACAAGACTTGTAAAGAAACAAAATCATTCAAAGCATTTTGAGCTACGAGTTAAAAACAATACCCGCCGCTACTTAGTATCAAGCAAGATCTACAAATTCTCGAGCCTACATAAAACCTACCAGTCAACCAAAGTACAACTCTATATATGTTATCCATATGTCATCGTTCATTACATAATATAACCGCTATAATTTTCCTTTTCCTATTCGCGTTTTCGAAAGTCGATAGAAAGTAAGTTATAATAATATTCTGATACAAATCCCCGGAACTCGAAATGAGGCAAGAAGAAAACCAATATTCTGATGAGTTTATATATGGCCCTCTTACTTTTTCATGGAGTGCGAGTTTGAAATTACGTGTTCATGGAGGGATCGAAAAACATTGTTAAGTCCAGCGTTGTGAAGGTTTACTTAACAACTCGAGTAAGAGAGGCTTCCCGTACACCCCTGATTTATAAAAATATTACCCTAAAGACCTTATACAACTAAAATTCTAAATCAATTATATAAATAATGTAGAACAAGTAATACTTCTCACTCCTTATTAAACGAGACGAGGTAACATAGGATAATCAATTAAGTTGTGCTAGACTTTTGGTATATTACTTTTAATAGCGTGTATAGAGTAATATCTAAATTTCTTACTACTCAGGATTACTCCGAGTTTAGTTGAGTTAGTAGTGGATCTGACTACTCAAGTAGTACTCAACTTAACTCGCATAGTACTCGAGTTGAGTTGAGTTTGGTAGGCCTAAATTCCACTTGAGTTGAGTTGAGTGGGTGCTACTACTCAACTCAACTCAACACAACTTATTTGTAACGCTGGTTAAGTCAAGAGTATTCAAAGGTTGGAGTGTGGATTTAAATAAAGTTTGGGATTGCTTCTAGATAGTTGACGTAGGACTTTGTAAGTTTAAGAGTAACTTAATGTAGATTTGTTCTGTTGGTTTGCACTTTTTCTTTCTTTTTTTGGTTTTGACAAGTATACAATAGAAGAGACTGCCAGATCCCACTTCTCAATGTTTGACTCTCTGATTGAACAGTGAAAACTATAGTATCCACTTCTAACTTCCATCATAATGTTCTAAACGCATTGAAATTATTTACCATTCTTGAATAGCCACTCTATCTTACCAGATTGAGGTCACGGAAAATCTACAAGATCCTTAAACACCAGCCCAATTCACTTCTTCAACCCCAAAACAACCAACCCCAAAACCCTATACCCAACCACAATCCCCACCAAAATTCCAACCCACTCCCCCATCCTCCCCGTCTCAAACCCATACTGCTCCAACACCCCCATCCCCTCAACCCTACACTCCCCCATCAACGCCGTAACAAACATACACTCACACCTCCTCCCACACTTATACGTACTCCCCTGAAACTGATTAACCATCATCCCCTGGAACACATACGCCTGATAATCGATATAATGAAACACGTATTTGAAGAAGGGGTTCAGGATATCGGGCGGGACCATGAAGCCATTGACACACATCCAGAGCCCATTCGCGAAGGCCGTGAGCGCGAGGGCGATGACGAAGTTGGGGAAGAGGGAGGAGATGAGGACGACGAGGGATTCGGCGGCGAGGAGATCGAGGAAGAGGAATAGGACCCAGGTAAAGAAGGCGAGGGCTGTGGGACGCATGTTGGAGAGCCAGTAGGCGATTATGGAGAAGAGGAGGGAGATTAGAACTGGAGATATGTTAGTACATTTTTGTTCAACGTGGAGAAAATGAAATCTTACACAGATAAGGTAGTCCGATGACGAAATTGGAAAGCATGAAGGCGGTTGAACCATAGAGACCATTTGCGCGCTCTTTGACGAAGGTAGCGTGGTCCTCGAGGAAGCTCGGTACATAGGCGACGGCCATGAAACTCATGAATGCGCCGCCGAAGAAAATGGCATTGATGAGGGGTTGGATGGAGCTCTGATCATCTTTCATTCGGAGCCAGACGAGTCCCATCATAAGAGCGAGGCCGAAGTACATGGCGATTCGGATTCCGTAGGCGACAACGTCTCGGTAGCTCTTGACGAAGGAACGGTGGACGAGCGCTAGAAGGACGACGAAGAAACTTCTTGGGGATGGCTTGGTCAGAGGAAGCGGCTTGGGAGAGTGCGTTGCGGCGGTTATTTGTGAAGACATGGCGGAATGAAGGGTGGATTGGGTCCATCCCTCATGAATGGTTTGGAGACGGGATTCTGCTGCTTCGTAGTGAGTTGAGAAGTCGGTGTTCATGAGCTCGAGGAGAAATTCGGCTGGATTCATGTGCATGGGCAAGGGGAAACCGTTCGCTTTGAAGTGCGATTCGATATCTTGAACTGGTCCAAAATAATGTGATCTGCCTTTGGAGAGAAGCAGCAGTTTGTCAAAGAGTTGGAAGGTGGTGGTAGATGGTTGATGAATGGAAGCAATAACTATCAGCTGCACTGCATGTTAGCGAAGGTGATACAATAACCCCTTTCAAGCTCGAGAACAAACATTCTTTCTCTGAGTTGCTTCCTTGATGAATGAGATAACTTCGAAGCTTGCGGCCGAATCGAGACCACTCGTTGGTTCGTCCAGGAACAAAATCTTGGGTGCAGTGACGAGCTGACTGATCACGCTGAGCCGTCTCTTTTGTCCACCACTGAGGCCTTTTCGTATCGGCGTACCCACGATAGTATCAGCTTGGCCGCTCAAGCCAAAAGACTCAATCAATACAACGATTCTTTTGATTCGCTCCTGTTTCGTCAAGGAACTAGAACGTTTCAACAATCAGACAGGACCTTCAAAAAGTGGAGGTTTTCCTACTGTTTATGTGCAAGTCGCGCGGCAAAATGTATCGTCTCCTTAACCGTCAGGGATCCAATAAGAGCATCTTCTTGCTCCACGTAACATGACATCTCTCGAAAGACTGATGTTGAAGATTGGTTGCCATTGACCAAAGCTGAACCCTCCACCTTCGCTCCACCCACATATCGTCGCGCGAGAACATTGAGAAGTGTAGTCTTCCCACATCCGCTTGGACCCATCAGGGCAATCATTTCACCTACATCGATTAGATTTTGTGTGATATACATATGAGATCCAACTGTATACCTGCTTTAGCGATTCCATCGATGTTATCGAGAATGGCCTTTGGTTCCTTGGTCTTGTGGTCTTTTACATACACAGTGATTCCTTTCCATGTGAGATTCTTAACAGAGTTGTTGAGCAAGTATGAGTTGACGGCTGCGTTTTCCTCGACATCCATTGCGAGGTGTTTCTCTTGAAGATTCTGTCCATCACTGCTACCGTCGAGGGAATTCGAGTCATTGTTTCGAGAATGCGTGTGATCAAACATATTGAAACTGAAGGAAGTAAAAATACAAAGAGGTTTATACAAGTAAGAGAATAAGACGACCGAGGGGATGTTTGAAGTGGAATACAGAGAAGGAAAGAACAAAAAAGCTAACAGTGTTCTTTAAGGGGTTTCTCCAAATACACAATCTAAGACATCGAGGAAAGATTACTGGATCCAGCATCGTTTTCGCATTCTTTCTTGCTCCAACGCAAAGCTGGGCGTTGTTGTTCTGGCTCCGACTAGCTGGTGGTAGTCGCCGATGAGATCCTCAAGTAAGCTTGAAGTAAGCTCAGCTGATCCCCGCTGACTACTTCGCGCCAGCGACTTAGCCGCAAACATACTAAATTCTGGACAAGTTTGTTACTTACGATTTGAACAGTAGTGGGCATTGCAAAAGTCAATTGACACCCAATAACTTAAAGAATTGTGTTATACAGAAAAATACACCGATAAAATCCCCTTACTACAACAGGCAGGTACTTCAACAGAATAGTGGAAGGTTTTTTTTGAGTTAAAGTATAGATAGCTCAGGTGACCTATACCATCTTTCTTTACGCCGCACGCGTCTTTGATCTTGGCAAATCTTTCTTGGCTTTGATAGAGGAGTTATCTCAGGTTGTCACGTCAGGCGTGTAAACTCAGTTATCTCAGCGTGTCTCTGGATACCTTCAAGGCGTACACATAAAGTAATGACAACAACTGCCTGATTCCCTATTGAATTCGACACTCGCAGACCAATACCGTGGTAAATCGACTCTAAGGAGGAGACCAGGGTCGCGAATGGATCGTGACCGTTCGGTTAAAACTTCGTCACATACCGACGGCCTTTGAAGTTGATCTCCGTGTCGTTTCGAGCCGCGATTATGAGTCGTGTGAATGTCGAGTTGATCAGCCAGGTCCCCTAGCGTCTGAAGAAGAAGTGTAACGAAATTATTGGACGAAAGAGAAGTGAGTAAGAAGTTGAACTATCTCTGAATAAGCGAGGCCAAGAGGGAGGTCCCCAGGCCAGGTCCCCGAAGAGATGCGAACCTTATGGCCTAAGGTGGCTGGTGGGTGGGAAAGTGGCTAACGAAGCAAAACCGGGAGTTGGACGTTCAGGGGCCAACTGGTGTTACGTGCATCTGCAGTAACTGGGGAGGCCTCGCCAGGGGAGAACCTGAGACCCTGAAAGCGTCAACTCTGCCGTGCAGCCGAAATCTGTGGTACAGGACTGCAAGGTTTGATGAACCCATGTTTGATCAGGTTTGAATGGGTTTGTTTGGGTTTGGTTCGCGTCGTGATACCGTAAATTATTCACAAGTACATTTTTTGTACGAATAATGGTTCGTTGGTCCCAATCGGGAGTAATCTACTCGAAAGTAGCGATGACGTGTTTTTGAGGGATTTTGCTGTCTGCCAAGCTGGATGCAAGAAAACGGAAAATAAAATTTACGCGATATCACAGCCCTATAATTAGCGACTTATTCCGTATTAGTGAACTATACCGTTAATGCCGAAACGTTGCTACTCCACTACTCTGAGTAAGCCTGTAGGCTCTAGATCGACTCTTCCACAGTTCCATTGGCATCGAAAACTTTCTGGTCTTTGCCAAAAACTTCACTTTGCAATTTCAGTTGCAAATGAAATATAAATGACGACGAGTTGAAGACGTTATCACTTGATGCAGCTTAAAGATCTCAAAGATGTTTCAACCTCTACAAATTACTACTTCTACGTGCCACGGCTGACCTTGCCTGATTCAGGGTTCTTCCACATAAAATCAACCCCAGACCTCAACTCCCCGTTACTCCCGCCACCAGTAGGGGCGTTCGTTCGTCAGATCTGAATTCTCCTTCTTACGAATGGAGTCAAATTTTGGAGGTCATTCGGATTGGCTGCGCTTTCGCAATTCTCTTGGTCTTGTCCCTGGTTACCAAGACCTCCAGCCCCCAAGTGACCAGGGAAGTTTACAAGCGAAGTAAATTTACATGGAATGCGATCTTTCCCGATCCCTGGGGGCGCGACTCACAGGTTCTGTCGTAACCCGCAGACTCAGCCTTTGCGGTCACTTGTGACTTGCTGGAAGGGGAAAAGCTTCAGGCTGCAGCCCAGTGGCCCCAGTTGCAAATTTCAGTTCGTTCGTTGCAAGCCAAGTCATCCATGAATATCAAAAAATAAGCCAAGGGTCCTAGCTTGAAACAGGCCCAAAAAGGGGATCAAACCCCACTCGATGGATCTCTAGAAAGTCAAAATACTTCATGCCGTAGAATGTCCGTTGTATCTTTATATATCCCCAGGTGTCCATGCTTTCCCCATACTCACAGATTTACGCCTCTCCTTTGTAAATTTCCATTCTTTGGGGTCCCATTCTTCATTCCTACATTCATTATTCGCGCTGGCTGAGCCATGTGAAGATGGCTTCCATTGATCTCGCCGTTGCAATTCCGACTTTGATCGGAAGCTTACTTTCTTGCTTTGCTTCGGGACTGATCTTCTGCTGTTACATATTCCTTCCACAAATCCCTCATTTTCGCCACATTCTTATCATAAATCTCGCGGCAGCTGGTATGCATTTTGACTTCTCCAAACTCAAACTCTGGCTGACTTTCATGCGATAGATTTTATCAATTCTTTCAACAACACCGTCTCCGGCCTCTGGATTTTAGGAAATGGTGATCTTTCTGTCGGGGGCAAATGTTCATTGAATGGCTGGCTTGGCCAATTGAGTGTACAAGGAGTCGACTTTGCAATCCTCTTGATCGCCATTGCAACAGTCATGTCATTACTAGGAAAACATGGGATGTTTGATACCAGCATCAAAAGCAAGGTCATCTTAACGACTGCTGTTTGGCTCATGCCAGTAATTACAAGTAAGATAGCCAATAACCAAGACATGGACTATACTGACAAGTTCATAGGCTTCACCGCGCTTGGCCTGAAGGCGTACACTCCAGTTAGTGGAAACTGGTGTTGGATTTCTGCCGAGAAACCCATTCTCCGATACGGTCTCACCCATGTATGGCGATTCATCATTATCTTCGTCACAGTATGCCTTTACGTTTATCTCTACATCTACTTTCGTTCCGAGCTCAAGGAAATCGCCGCTCTGCGTCGACCATCCGACGCGTCCTTTGCCACGTCGATAATGGACGCTCCGAAGGAGGAGGACGAGGAGTTTGAAATGCGAGACAAGGAAATGAGATTGAACTCTTTTAGTCACGAAGACGACTCGGTTCCGATATCTTCCTCGAAAGCGCTTACGAATTTTACTTCTTATGAACAACAGTATGGCTCCGCCACGCATGAGCAAACTCTTGAATACGACCGCTCTGCATCCCTCGTAAAGAAACAACGAGAGATACAAAAGGTTCTGCTTCTTAACGCATATCCGATCGCCTATGTTATTCTCTGGCTCCCAGGGCTCATCAACCGCCTGAACGAATTGAACGGGAATCACTCAAGGGTACTGCAAATCATGCAGAGCTCATCGCAATTTGTTGGGCTCGCAAACGCAATTACCTATGGATACAACGAAGGAATCAAGAGGCAAATGAGGAAGTGGTGGACGAAGAAAAGTGGACAGTCTAATCAGCGCGGTATGGTTTAGGACTAGGGAGGGAGAATTTCACGTATTTTGGTTTTGTTCTTTAAGCGGGTTTGGGTCGGATTCATAATATACCACCATAGCACAGCGTGCATATCCTTTTCATTTATATAATCTCCTTCATACCTAGCGTAGTCGAGCATTATAAAAAACTGAAAAAAATAAAACATAATTTAATGTTACATTGTCTACGTGCAAATGATTCAAGCTTTGTGAAATTCTTACTTTGTGCCTCTCGCCTTGCTCTGTACAACGCTACCCACTCAAGCCCTTCTCGATTATTCCATTCTACTGCATGTGCCGTGCCTTGCCTTTGTCACTTTGCTCCCTCCCCTGCCTTCAAAAGATCGCCAAGTGGACATCGTCCCATCTATCCCTTAGCCACCATCTCTACTGAACCCCTACCCACCCGGTTTCAAGATTTTAGACGATGCACCACGACTCGGAAATAACAATCCACAGCCTGCAGAATGATTCACGCACACGTGTAGCACACGCGACGGACGTGCGCCTCCTTCCTAACAAGGCAGCCCCTTGGACCCAGTATTCCCAACGGTGAGGTAAATGTAACAAGTATATTGGGTGGATTGAGCTACCGTTCTGAGAGGTGCTGCAGTATATGAAACTCATAGCTGCGCTTAACCTCGCTATGTGGACGGTATAAGCATCCAGGGATGTAGGAAAGCTTTGATGATGATCAGGATCGCTTCTAATCACGGAGTCACGTCCTCTTGGGGGAATTGACCAAGTCGCCTTGTTATCATGTTAGTCAACGATGTTCAGCCGCTGCGCGTCATTTGTGATTTATCTCCTTCCATGCTCCACTTTCCAGCCTTGCGAATTTCGAATTTCAAAATTTCCAAAGCATTGTCTGCAGTATAAAATGATTAAATGCATAGTTGATGAGGGTGGATTGTGCCACGTGAATAACTCGTTCATCATGTCCACACGCACAGTCCAGCTCTTACAGTAGTGGACGGGCTATGCACTGGTCATATGATCTCTAGGCATACTCGCTTTCGCTTTAGTACACTCTCCGGCCCACAAGGGTAGATGTGAGTATATAGGAACCAAGAAGGTATAGAGCTAGGAGGAGTAGTATACTCTAGACCCAGATCTGTCAAATCTAGAGGTTCGATAACCTTTCGTTATAGAAAACCATGATTTCCTTTAAGCACTACATGAGACAAACAAGACACGAGGGCATAAGAACCAGGAGGCGCTTCGAGGAATAGGCAGGTGGAGGTGCGACTATCCCCTTTGTTGAAATAGTCGGGGGCCCCCTTTACTGAGCCGAAAAATATACCAATATCGAGGAGGAGTGGCGAGTAAATTAGGTTCGATTCCTGATAACAAGCTCCTAGTAGCAAGTACCTCTCCTCGGTACAAGTGGGAGAGAAAAAATGGACTCTGTTATCACCTAAGGCTGAAGCTGTTTTTCTCTCCACCTTGTACCAAATTGATAATCAACCCTATGCTTGATAACCTTTCGTTATCTAAAAAGTCTAGTTTTACATGTAGAGCCTTCTAATAAAATCTACGTCTATTCCGTTAGTAAAGTAGAGTACTTTGAAGATTTCAGCTTAGATAATCAAGGGGTTAATTGTCAACTATCGAATTAGAAGCTGTAAAATAAGTAAAAGTAGAGGGAGAAGAGAAAATAATTAACTGGGAGTATAGAATTACTACGAACAAAGAATGAACCTTTGGACACGCTAGTAGTATATCTTAACTTATAATCATATACTGGTAGTCTGAGAGTTTAATTACTCTTATTATTTTATAAGGAAAATATGAAAACAAAACCGAGTATCGCTCTAACGTCTATTTGAGAGATTTGTTACGGTACTCGCTAACTTGATTTGAAAGCGTAGTACAAGAGTGGTTGGTAAGTACAAATGACCCTTAGACACGAGGTAATTAGGGCTATTTCTGTGGCCGTTGTACATAGGTACTGTTACGAAAGAGTCACGTGTTTATTCAAGTGATAATCTAGGGTTATATGTACGCCTGGATTCCACGTAATCGACCGATAACAGCGTGTCAACAAAACTAATCAACTACTCAACGCTACTCGAGTAGTAATCGAGTTAAGTTGAATGAGCATGATTAGTGGATTCCGTTGAGTTGAGTTGATTACAGGATTTAACTAATCGATTAATACTCAAGTAGTTATATATAACGTGACCACTAGTGACTATATACAAGAAAATAGCATATGCCTGATGGAGAGGAACTCGGCTAGGTGGACCGACCGGCCGGAGTCCGGCTAGCGAGGCTGGGCTTATTGCGGGGTATCGGGCCGACACTAATCGAGTTAATCATGAGTTAATCGATTACTTGGCGAGTTGAGTTGATTAGTGATTTTCACTACTCGAGTTGAGTTGATTAGGTGCTACTAACCAAATCAACTAATCGAATTAAACACTCTGACCGATAATCAATCCTCTACTACTACTACCTACTACTACTACTACTACTACTACTACTACTACTTTATACTCTTTATTGTCTTATATTGTGGCTTTTGTTACTGTTTCGGACTTATTCTGGAATCTCCTACATGCCCTTATTATCCTACCAAGTTATACCAACAGATACTAATCACATCGCTTGTGGTCAACTCTTAGTCAATAAATGGCAAACCAACGCGCCGTTGAGTTCACGATAGCTTATTAGAAAATAGAACACCCTCCACATATTCGATTAGAAGTTTTCAAGACGATGGCATTTTCCCCTATCTTGAGTACAAAAGACTCCTTGGTAGACTAAACATTTCTAAGATATTACTAAGACATTCTTTCTAGAGCCCAGGTTGTGCTCTTACGGAGTACGGGGTTCCGAGTGTGGTACGCTACTGTTAAGCGAGGATACCCCATATATGAGGGTCTTCTTTGCCAACGCAACGAAATGTTTACGTAGGATCTTTTACATTTTGTTTACCATATTGTACCATGATTTTGCTATAATGTTTCTCGCAAGAAAGTATTTGTTCCAAGCGCGCAAAGATGTGATACTTTCTTGACACCTTGCTAGAATTTGTTTATCATGATGTTCGACTTCATGGTTCTATCCCTAAGGTTACCTATTTGCGTGCACTCTGCGACAAGCTTTGATTGTACTCTGGCTGTATTCATACATCATGGTCTTACCCTGGACTTTGTTATGATAAATCTGTGCCATAAACAAGCGAAGGGACAAGCCGCGAAGAAAGCGGCAATATCAAACGACCACGAATTTAGGTACTACATACAACTCATCGAGAGAAATTTCTTTTCCTAATCGTGATCAATTATGTCTAAGAAAATGGGTAGAGAGTGTTTGTTTGGCGCTATGAGTTGTCCATAGGCTCCACTGGCTAGAAGTCTGCAGTGAAAGACTTTTCTGCCTCGCGACTTGTAGAAAGCTGCACTGAGTAGCCCGATATTTGGAATACCTGAATTTTGCTACTACCCAGTGTGACGCACCTATAGACGAGGGGCTTTCTAGGATATGACTTAGCAAAGTAGTATTTTCCCCACTAGTAGCGATTTATAGTTGCACTCGGAACTCCGGGTTCTGACACAACCCGTTACAGCAGGCTATTGGCTCCTACTAGTCAGTGCGCTTCCCTCCGCGCTATCGGTTAAGGTTAGGGAAAGCAAGTGTCCGCGGAAAGCAAGTGTCCGCGGAAAGCAGGTGTCCGGTTGGAAAGGAGTTTCTTCAGAATACCAAATTACTAGTAAACTATGCTAAAAATTATATATAGATATAACCTACTCCTAAGTTAATCATACCCTTATATTAATAAAGTCTATATTTACTATAATTAAGTCTACTAATTTATAGCTCTTCTAATTAAACGAGTTATACTAACTCGGGTAGTTTTAATTATATATAGGTTCTTATTTTATTTTATTTACCTATAGAACTAGTATTACCTACTACATTAGGTAAAGCGTAGGAGCACCTGCTATATTAGAACAGAAAAGTAGGTCAAGGAGGAACACTAAAACTCGTCCGTAGCGTACGGCTCTTTGTACCTACGTAACGGTACTTCCACCGGTCGGAAAGACATGCAAATAAGACAGATTTGTAGTTTAGTTAAGGTCTGTCTTACTCTCGAAGAATGCACGTTTCCGAACAGTGGAAGAGCCGCATGCGCACCATATGTGCTGTAGGAAGGCTTAAGTGCGCATACGGCTCTCGGTGCGGCTCTCCGTGTAGCTTTGCGGCCTTGGCGAACCTAGCCCTTACCAAGGACGCAAAAGTCTCCCCCGAGACTCTTATCCTGAGATTAACCATTATCTTTTTTCTCTTGAATAGTACTAATTAATTGTACTATAAAGGTTATAAGTATATTTATCTTAGGTATGGTTATATTTAAATAGATAAATAAACTATAGTTTATATATAAGATTATAAATAGATTTAAGTAAAGGAAAGAAACGTATAATTTACTAAAAATATAAGAAAGTATACCGTATTAATTGGTATATAAGATAGTATATAACATTTAAAAAGTTTATTAAATCGACGATTATAACCTTATTTATATCTCTTCTAGATACTAGAGTTATAAAAAATATATATATTTAAAATAAAGTAAACGTATTTACTTTTATAATATCTTCCCTATAAAACAAAGTTATATAGCTAACTAGACGATGCTTCTAAGTATTTAAGCCTTAATTTAATCTAGTTATTATATCTACCTATATTTACTTTAAGTATACGTTTTTTTTATAACTCTAGTATTTAGAAGAGATAAAAAGTAATATTTAATAAATAAATAAAAAAAGTCTCTACTACTAACCTACTAACTACTATCTATTATACCGCTTCTACGCGCGACTATAATTATACTAATAACCCCCTTTTCTCGAACTTTTAGTTTCTTTATTTCCACTTAAGCGGTAAGTAGTATAATAGAACCTATATTCTCTAGGTAAAATATATAAATATATAGGAAAGAGAGGCTAAGAGCTAAAAATATAAAGAGAAATTAGGTAGAGTTTTAGTCTATTTATACTTAAATAAGGGGTATAATAAGGGGTACTTTAGTACGATTCTTTTAGTTAGATATATAAGATATAATTTCTACTCTAGGTTAGAACCTTATCTTATATCGCGGGATATCTTATATAAGAATGATATCTTATCCCTTACTCCGTAATACCTTAGAAACCGGTAGGTAGAACGTTCTAATTAGGTTTGGTATGTAGTTTCCGACTAGTTTCATTAAGTTTAATTGGCGAGAGCACTTAGTCTAAGCCTAATTAAGCGTTCTGCCTACCGGTTTCTAAGGTACCGTAGAAACTCGACTCGGAGGCCCAAGGTGGTCGGAATCTAGACGGAAAAGACCTGAATTCCGTGAGAATTAATACCGCAAGTGCCATAAAAGGGTACCGACTTAAGGCTATGCCTCTTTGAAACCCACTTTCACTTCTATTCTAATCGTACTCCGAGTTCTACAAGACGCTCAAAGGGGAGTAGCAAGGGCAGCTCCAGGGGGATTTTGGTGTGGCCAAGGCCAAAAAACCAAGATTTACGACCTCGGGCCTCCGAGTCGAGTTTCTACGGTATTACGGAGTAAGGGATATACCAACTGATACGGTATTACTAAAAGACATATATTGGTTATAAACTTAAGATATAATTTATAGGAGAGGCACCTACGGAATATCTACGGTTTACCAGACACTTGCTTTCCCTAACCTGAAGCGATAGCGCCGAGGGAAGCGCACTGACTATTACTTCAGAGACACAATGACCAAGTCAGGTGGTGCTTGTCAATCAACCGCGGAATGCGGCGGAGGAACTAGGCTAATGTGGACCGTCTTGTTCGTGCAGGAATGTTGAACAACGAGGGATGCTGAAGAAGAACTCCGTCGTTAGAGAGTGGAAGAGGAGAATCGTATCCTGTGATCGCCTTGCCACTGTAGTCTAAGGTGATTTGGAGATAAACCTTCAGATTTGCTCGCTTAAGGCTCCCTTCCGCCTTGGTCGGGTAGTCCTCGTAGATCTCGCCTTAGGTTGTGTGGCGATGTTATCTTCCGCTTTAGTTATAAATCCTCTTGGCACGCCGTCACCCATATACGGTCGAACTCGTTGACACTGTGAAGCGGATTCTGTCTGGAGTAGAGTAGAATTTCAAAAGGCATTGAGTCGCTCCCTTAACGCCAAGGTGGGTCTTCTTACACAATCACACCTTGACGGCCGAGTTGGACCGCGAGGTAAACAGCACTCGATTTAGTAGTAAGTCTGAACAATAGTACATAAATGGCCATGTCCCTTTCTATTCAACCTTCATTCTCATTATCGCCATCACTGCCTTTATCAGAACGCTATCTTCCACCTCCACTATCCCACCACAAAAATGTCTCTTACCGTCGGTTTCGCAGGAATCACTGGAAGGGTGGCCCAATGTGTCATCCATGACCTTCTCAAAGAGCCACAGGTACTTATCAAAGGATACTGTCGTGACCCTTCAAAGCTACCAGCTGTTATCCGAGACAACAAGAGAGTTACCGTATTCCAAGGGCAAACTGATGACAGAGCTGCCCTGATTCCTTTCGTGGAAGGTGTATGTAGTTCTTCTCTTTATCCACCATCCAAAACACCCAGCGCTGGAAACTAGGACAGCGATATAATGTCTTAATCGTTTATACACTAGTGGGCTAATGGAGTTACTTATGCTAATTTTGTGCAGTGTGACGTTATGGTCTGCGCCTACCTCGCAGAAAACACAGTCATGGTCGCAGCTCAAAAGCTTCTTGTCGATCTCTGTGTGGACGCAAAAGTTGACCGTTATGTTGCCAGCGATTGGACATTGGAATACCCAAGTCTTACCCCCGGGATGTTCGTCAAGAAGGATCCAATCTTGGTAATCAATGCGTACTTGAAATCCAAGCCCATCAAAACCATTCATATCTTGAACGGTATGTTCACGGAAACACTTTTCAGCGACCTGTTTTACTTTTACGATGGATCGACCACACCCACGTTCAAGTACTACGGAAATGGAGACGAACTTATGGATTTGACCACCTATTACACTGCTGGTCAATATACAGCTGCTCTTATCCTTGACAAAGACGCCGAGGGATTCTACAGATGTATGGAAAAAGTCCTTATCAGACGTTACTATGCTAACAAATCACAGTCCGTGGTGATAAAATCTCCGCAAAGGGTATTATCGCAGACTTCACATCTGTCTATGGCTATGCACCCAAAGTGGAGGTACTTGGTACTCTGGATGACCTGCACAGGGAATCCTTGAAGACTGGCGAGCAAGACTACATCATGTGAGTAAAATGAAAGCCACAATCTAAGCAGCGCTAATGAGTATCCAGGACTGGAGCATGGCTCATTTTGAACGGAAAGGTCTATCTTAACGAGCCTCTTGATGCCGACAAATACCCACAAGTTAAGCCTAGAACCATCAAGGACTTCTTCACAGAGATTCCAGTGGAGAAGTTGTCAGACTCACTCGTGAATGTTTCAACCCGCTTGTCATGGAAGTATTGAGTGGAGCGACTTTACGCAACATGGTTGGCAGAATCTCAGCGACGAAAGTTTTTCGGGGGATGGCAGATAGAGAATTGCCGTTTTTTCTTCTTGTTATGTTTAAGACTGAAGAATGATATAACTGTCGGTTTTCGCTAGTTTTTATATTGCAAAAATGTTCAATTTACGTGATATGCACTTACACACAAGGCAACGCATGGGAGCCGGAAGAGTTTCAGTATAAAGAAAGGGGGTGGATAGCTAAGAGTTACACCATGTCACGTAAATAATATCAAAACCCACTATATTAGGGGGCTTTCTAATAGCTTTGATGCTGTTTCCCAGTGGGAGCGGGTGTATATGAATAGTTACCAAAATGTCCGCGGTTGTATGTAAATTACAACTTTTTTCTGTGTAGTTTTATACTTATTTCTAAACTTATTTCTATATTTTTACGGCTCAAATCACTTATACTTACTAAAATTATGTATATACGGGGGTCATAGGTAGGGACAGAAGAGAGTTAAAAGAAAACGACGAAGTGCACTTACAGGTAGGGACAGAAGGGAGTAACAAAAAAAAAACGACTAAGTACACTCACAGGTAGGGACAGGAGAAAAGGACTAAGTACACTTATAGGCAGGGACAGTAGGAACGATAGGAGGGCGGGGGGAGGGCAGTAATATATAGGCATTACTCGGAAGTACGCACGTAGTAGGATCTATATACCTAAAACTATAATAAAAGTCTATTCCTAGCTACCGGACCGGTAAAATGTAACGAATACTCAAACTGGCTAACTAAACTTGGCTGGGTGTTCGCTGGTTGGTATGCTATGATAAGAAGAAGACTATCGGGTTGTTCACTTGGAAGTGAACTCGTTACTTGTATCAAAGATGTCAAACTAATATGATAAGATTGATAACTAAATTGAGCACGAAGCTCCTATCTAATGGCAGACGTGCCAGTCTTATATAGAACCTTCGTTCTCTGATTGATCGCTCTAGTCGCTCGCCCTGATCGCTTCAGTCGACAGGCGACTCAGGCGACTCAGGCGACTAGATCACGTGATTTTCCTAACCAGAAGAAATCCCTGGATCGCTTAGCTAGTCTAATTGATCCCTTTTTGCTATAAGTCCATGGATGTGCTTAATCTGTCAGGACGCCGCCTGGTCTTCCTTTGTCACATGCATTGCTACACGTGATTCGTGACACTATCCACCCTCTAGGTGGACAAGATATAGTAAGTGGCAGTCTTGGCACTAGAATTTTATAGTAATAGAGATGCTCGCAAAATCGGCTACGCCAAGACTGCCACTTATCTTGTCCACCAGGAGCCACCCTCTTTAGTTACAAGGCAGAGACAATAATACTATAGTCCATGTTAATGAAAATAGACGTCTCCATATATTCACAAATCATCTGTATGAAATATTTTGAGACCAGCTCAGAAGCGATTTAATCAATATTTGATTTAGTATTAGGATAACTTGATGTTGATATGGTTTTGTAAAGTTCTTGAATGTTAATAGCAAATATATTGGGTATAGTTCTATGTTTGATTAGAACGAAATCAGAGCTACTACAAGGGTCTGGATCCAGCAATGAGGCTGAAGTCTTGCTTCAACTCTTGATTTTGATATTTGCCACTGCCATGAGATTTGAGTCAGCCAGGTGGACGGCTTTTCCCTTTGAAGAATGTGATAGTACCTGAATAATGCTGTTTAAGTTTATGAGAGTGTGGGAAATCCTTGGCTAGTGGTCCCCATAACCTATAGTGGAGCATTTGAGAGGCGGAGGGTTAGGGAAGTTGAGACGGAAGTGTGATACAGTAGGGACTGTACTCCGTATGGGAACGATAACCGCTGCTGTGATTGTTATAAAAGACGTTTGATCTGTAAGAGCAGTAAAAGTTATCCCCTAAGTAGGTTTCATGAATTAGAGTTAGTCACTTCCTATTACTGAAGGCCAATAATAAAGAAACATGAGATTGAACTAAGACTTCTCTCTAAAAGATTTTCAAAAGACCTTCAGTCAGCCCTATGATGTTATAATACTCATAACATAAAGTTGTCACTCTTTCTGTGAATCTCGCCTCCACTCCGCTTAACTCCTGACTTGGTAGCCGAAAGCACGTGACAATCTATGTGGGTCGGCACAATGTCAGATGACCCCTCAAAAATCCACCTCAACCACAATTTGCATGAGACGCGACCGATTTGACCGCGAACAGGTGGAAGAACAAACTCAACGAAGATCAAGTTCCAACCCGATTTCCAGATTTACAAACCCCAGAACCTTACTCCTGAGACACATGGAGGGACATAGATCTCTGATCGTCATCATGAGATAGAAATCAATCAACAACGGCACTGCGACACAGAGCAGGAGCGTTTCGCGAACCCCACCACCAGCTCTTCGTCACAACTTCAAATCCATCCGACACGATGCGGCGATCAAGTGGGACATGAGAAGGACCACTCCTAGATCGATTTGAGTCGATTTGAGATCGACTTGAGATTGACCTCTCCACTGGGAGAATCTCCGCCAGGTCGCAGGTTCGCGCCCAATTAATTGGTTCTGGAAGACACACGTACGCATCTTGCTAACTGCTCAAAAGTATTTGCATATTTGTCAACCGTCTTCACTGATCACGCGATTCAGCTATGCAAGCAGGAGTTGGCCAGATCCCTCCTCACCAAAACACCAACACTCATTCGCCTGATCCACCTGGTATCGTACGACTGCTGACGGAAAAGGAGTTTGACCTTTACCGATGTTGCTCCGAACTCAGCTGGCTGACAGCCCTCTTGTACCTGCATGTATCAAGCATCAGATCCCAGAGTGCTACGACAGATTCCAAATCACAGACTACCTACTGCTATAGCAGTGGTATCATAGGGTCCCGATATATTCACGGACTGGTTAGTGAGGCCTTGGCAAAATCAGTAATTGGCTCGTTGGAAAATAGAGAACGACAACAGTGCATATATCGCCCTGCCAGAATATTGCTATAGGTACAGAAAGATAGCACTTCTTCCTCTCTTGACAAGTACAATGTATCGCCATTAGAACGGATGGAACATTGTACTCTGTTCAAGGTGGGAGAGTCCAGACACCGTTCTCTCTAGTTGTGAGAACAAGAGGCTTGAATATCTTGGTGGTAAACCATTAAGTTGTTTTATTGACAGCCGTTCAGCTGACCAATGAGAGTCCGCCTGTCTCTTGTTCTGCGTATGCAATTTGCTAGGATATTCCATACTCCAATGGCGAGTGCCATCCAGTTTGAAGGTTGGCAAATAATGTTAGCATGGATCTTATCTATATCAAGATGTACTGGAAGGAATCTTGGAGTCCACACTTACTCTGTGTCAACCAGCTTTAACAGCATTCCCTGGAGCTGTGTGTATACTTCCAAGTGGTCGTTTTACACATATCAGCTACCCTCGGAATGACTTTGGGTACTTGGAAAAACACTTTGTCATCTCGCTTATGTTGCTTACTTACCCCTGAAGATGAGTTTCCATTGGCTAAGTCTTTATATATGTGTATGAGGAAAGAGATAGTATAACGCTGGCAGAGAAAGCATGCCGAGGAGGCTCACGTCTTTGAAAGTCCAAAGTTGCTGAGTTATATCCGGTTGGTATCAATCTTCCATTATACTCTACATAATTCATTCTTCTTTCTTTATTTCAATGGCAAGCCGCGAGCGAGCAGCAGAAGCGGCGGCGGCGGCCTCCGGGCGGATTGCGGGGTGGAGGGGGCGACCTTGAGGTTGTTGTAGCATGCCTTGGGAGGCAGAGGCCGGGGCAGCGGCGGGAACAGGCACAGGCGCTGGCGCTGGCGCTGGCGCTGGCGCTGGAGCAGGGGCAGGAACAGCAGCAGGCGCAGGCAGAGGCAGAGGAGCAGGTGCGGAAGCTCGAGCAGCCATGCGATAGGGGTTGGGACGAAGCCCAGCAATAGGGTTTGGCCCATAGGGCGAAGCGAGAAGAGCGGACGCAGGCGAGACCATTCGATAAGGGTTGGGACGAAGCCCAGCAACAGAGTTTGGCCCGTAGGGCAAAGCAAGAAGTTGTGTGCCCAGAGGCCTGGCGAGGGCTTGGGTGACGTGGGGTGGGCCGCGGATTCGAGGGCGAGCCATTGGAGGAGGTGGTGGCGGTGGTAGCTATGATGGTTAGCTGGAGGGCAACCTGATTGAGGTCTTGCAAAGGCAACTTACCATAGCGTGGAAGACTCGCGCCAGGTAGCTGGACTCAGGTCTTTGATCCATGTTGACGTGCCTGAAGAAGAGCTTGTTGTTGTCGCGAGGTCTTCAAAGAAGTATCTGGAGGCGGGTCATCGTTCTTCCTTTCCAGCGTAGTGAGTCATGCTTGAGGTGGTGGCTGTCCTGAGTGAAGTATGTCAAAGTTGGCCAACTTCATCAAGATTTCTCTGATCTCGCAAGCATCTCGCAAACAACCCTCCAAGAAGATATTACATGGAAAGCTTCGAAGACTCGAGATGTGAGGAAGATCTTATGCAAATCTTGGACGTCTCTGTTACTTTCTTCTCTTTCTTCGCTTTTGCTTGATACCTTTGTTCTTCGAAATCTTCTGAGCAATATGTTCTCATTTATCTCCTTAACTCAATTTTATATATCAAGCTCAAATAGTCACTTTCAAAAGGAGCAGCGGAAGAGATACTCCAGGACATGTTTATCTCAAACACACAAGACATGTCTCGTATTTGAACGATCCTCTATACATTGGAGAATCTGCTCATATTCTAAGATTGTCAAATTTACCGCTGAAGTATCTCGGTCCCACCAGCCTTTTTGGAGGATGGAAAGCTACCCGGTCAATTTCAGCTACGACTCTTGTAATTGCATGACACTTGTCAGCGTAATACCTATATACTCCTCTTCTTTATCCCCCTTGGATGGCAGATTTGAGTTCCTCAAGTTGTCTTTAGGAGAACCTAGCCTTTTGCAACCTGGTTCTCGTGATTTGTCTGTTACAGTCGAGTTTTCCAGCCACGCTCGACCAGGTTCCCAAAGGTAGGATTGCCTCGAATCATTTCTCTTGGACATTCTTCAGTTATGGTCCTACGATTATCATGATCCTCCATTCGATATTCTTTTGAGACTTTGGGTATATATTTAAGCAGCCAAAGCTTTTGTTCAGGCGCAATATTTGGGTGTAGAGTGCTTGTTTTCAGTGAGTGATCTACTCTGTCTGTCTTGACCTCACTCTGTATTCAAAGCGCGGTGCTCGGAGGGAAGGGGGCCATAGAGCCACTTAGCGACTTGCTTGCCCATTCGTCGTTTTCGTTGCCTCGCTCTGATGGAATGGACTTCACTGAAAGGCCACAGGCTTGGTACTGTGACGGATCTAGTGGCGATATTCTGCATTCTCCGTCTGGGCCATCTACTACCAAGCATATGCATTGCTTCCGCAGATTTCAAGCACGATTGGAACGATTGTCATCTTCTGACTACTGAATGGTTTTCCAATCTATCATACAACTCTGTCATCTCTTACGTATGAGCAACAATGCGTGTGGAATCTTGTTCTCGCCAACAAGCAATGTTGATGGCTTGACCGAGCCCTTTTCAAAAGAGACTGCGGCGATCTCCTTCTCAGATACAGGCTCGTAGTCATGTAGCTTGGTGCTGGCGGAGAAAGAAGCACGGTTGACCTCTGCCGGTGAAACTGCAGTGCGGACTGCGCAAGTTCCTACCCAGATCCGTAGTCTGGAGGAGGTGGGCGACCATCGTATATGACCGTCGAGACGCTGAAGATGTTCCTACAAAACTCGTTGGCTCTGCGTGTTTCTTCCTTGACTGGATTCAGGGGCAGCTTACCAGTCATCGAATTGTTGTGAACCGTTTTTGTGAAAGTATCACATATCCATGCTCTTTTCCTTTCCTGTAATATGTCTGTCTCTCTCACCTCGAGGTGGGATTGTGGTTCTTTGTCAAAGTTTCGTAGAGTGTACCACAATTTTAAATCCCAAGTTGGGATCTCGATGCTTGGTGAGGGCAATGCCTCCCGCTCAACAGGTATATAGTCGGTACACTTTGCAGACGATTCGAAGTGCGCACTCTATCCAATCTTTACACTTGTCGCAGGGAGTCGAAGTTGGATTTTGTGGCTGTAGATGTTCATGTTCTTATACTTTTCTGCTTGATATGATTAGCAAATGTACACCTCTCAACCTCTAGGCTTAAGAGCGAGAAAAAATGCGGCGGGCTTCTCACTTTGGGTTGGCCCAGTGGACTTACCATCGTGGATTGACTTGTAGATGTATGAAGTCTTTTCGTGTTGCAAACTTGAAAGCCGAGAAAGCAAAGGTATCAACTTGTGCCCCGTTATCGGAGAAGTCCATGTAGATGGCAGATGTGGAGCTTGAGAGAGATGACATTCGTATTCATTGTGGCGGCGAGCCTTTTGCTGCGTTTGGTAACGTGGATGTGCTTTGCAAAGAGGATAGGAGCTACAAAGTTGTTAGCCTAAGTCTGCAAGAAACCTCAAGTCAAGCCTACCATTGGGTTGATGCTGATGCGATGGTTTCGCACATCAGAGAAAGAATCAAGCACCTTTAAGGACCCTAAGTAGCTCCGAGGCATGGTCTAGTGGATGGTGGTGGGTGTTTCTGCCAGTTCAAGTTGAGTCCAAGGAACGCGCCGACTGTATCCGGTCTTCCATTGGCAAGGTTTGAGGAGTGCGACAAGAGGATCAATCGTATCTGGTGGATGGTCCCTGCAGTGCCATCTATCACGCTGGAGCGAGCAACTCAATTATTTGTCGTTCTGCATGCGCGTTGGGCAACTGGTCGGCCTGGGTTTGCGTCTTTTGGAAAACTGGTTTGTACCCTCGGTGTATCCTGACCTGACTTTGCATAACTCGTCTTCAGAAATGGCGAGGGAGGTTCTTGGGCCAGATGCTACAGTACACCTAGTGGTAGCATCATATCCTGCTTTCAGTGCCAACATCTGCCGGAAACAGTATTTCTGATTCTTGTGGGGAGGTTGCGCGGATGGTTCAATTTGATCGGCAGTATCCTGTGAAACGTTAGCTTGTGGTTGCTTTGAGCATATGCTTGATTTGCAAGACGGGGTGATAGCCACGTTTGGGATGATGGGATGCTGGGATGGACATAATTCGACATGAGCCTGTTCGCCGCCGTTTTCATTCGATACAATTGGTGGCTCCATGTCGTCGCCTTCAAGGCTATACGCCTGTGCCAGCATATACTCCACGTTGCGCCCTTTCTCGTCAAGGACGCTCGCCACTACAATTTTCCCGTAGTTGAGTCTATCAGAACCTCCTCAACACGATGGTTGGAGCATGAGCAGACTGACCTTCTCTCACTAAAAGTGGTCGACTTCTCCAATGAAGCTCTGATGGAACATTGTGGTTGAATATTTGTATGTTCTTGGAGTATGGTGGTGGTTGCGTCGGGTTTTCTTGTACTAGTTCGCCGAGTGAACGTGAAAATACATTCACCAGGCTTCAACGGATTTTGGCTGCGCGCAATCATGTTGTTGACCTCGCCTTATAGCATACAGTAAGTGATTCGAGCACTACAGTATATTAATTATGGTTATTAGCATCCTGGGATGATTGATTGTGACAACTTTTTCTTTTTCTTATTTTATATATATATATGTTCTTACTAATTATTCGTGGCTACTCGTTGAGCTGAGATCAGTGTCGTTGTGGTTGACTGTCAAATCTCGCTTAGCACCAACGGCCAAAACAAACATAACAACTTCGCACGCCATCTTGCTTTCGAACTCTGGCGCGTTCTTGACACTCGAAATCCACCACCACCAAATCCATCAATCGATCGTACCGTTGACTTCGAAGCCTTCTGGTGGTTTACTATCAATCGCACCACCATCAATTACGCGGAGGCGCCCCTTCTTTTGTTTCTTGGCCCTCCCCCCTCATTCTACCAACCGTCGCACGTCAAAATGCAGCGGGACAACCATTCGTTGGACTCCTTGGAGGAGGTTTTGGCGATAATTGGCCAAGACGAGGACGAGGAGGCCTATTTCGCTTCTGTCTTGGATGATCTCGTAAGTTCATGTTCTCAAAATCCTCAAAAGCGCCTCTCATCTGTTTACTAACATCTCGTTACAGCCACCTACCGACGTGGAGGATGTCCCTGCTGACCAAAACACCAGCAACGAGACCACCGAAGCCCGATCTTTCGCCGGTGGAGAGTTGCCTGTTGCGGCCGCAGAGGCCAGTGTTGATCTTTCTGGGGGCTTCATTGCCCAAACTCCTCCATTCCTTGGACACGACTCTTCTGCTGCTGGCGAGAACCTCTCGCAAACCCCTCCCCAACCTGCTCCTACCGGGTCCAATGAGTATGGCATGGACATGGGTGCGCCTCCTGGCCAACCCGGAGAAGTGCTCATGGACTTATGGGGCCGCCCTTACCTCGCACCCGTCTTTCGCAGTGGCGCCTCAATGGCACACCCAGGGCAGTCTCGACTCCCTGAGGTTCCCTCACACGGAACCAGCTTCGGCAATATGTTCAGCCAAGCACCACCACTCGCCTCCTCCTCTCGCGCTCCTGCTCCTGCTCCCGCTGCCGCTCCCGCCGACCTCCCCGCCGAATCTCCTCGTGCGTCTGCTGCCCCCGTCGTACCAGCCGGCACACCCTACCGAAAGGTAGAGGTTACGGACTGGGAGCTGAGACAAATTCGGCCCAGTTACACCAACGCTCCCCAGTCGAGCATCTTTGACGAAGGCCAGAAACCACCAAAGGCGAGGGGTCGACAAAACGTCGACCGAACCAAGCGATTGGTTCGGTTGACAGAAGAGGAGTACGAGGATCTTTGTGTTCGGGTTCGACAGAACCCAAAGAGCTACCGCAAACGAAAGTAGCTCTTTGGGGGATGTCTGGGGGTAGTTTGTGGGTTGGGATGACGTGTTGTTTCGTTTCTTTTTGCTCTGGGTTTGTTGCTGTGGTTGGAGGGGGGGAATTGAATGATATTTTTGCGTTGTTTTCGTTGGTTTTTGTGTTCTTTGGGGTGTTTTTTCTGCCTGGGGAGAGGTAGGGGGGATAATGAGATTGCTTTTTCGGTTGTTGCTTTTGCGGTCGGTGGTTTTGCCTCTTTTTTTTTGTTGTTGTTGTCGGATTACCTTTACAAATATCATTTGTTGAGGGCATCAATTGTTCTACTACTACGTGAAAATCCTGATTAAATATGAGACTAACGATGACTTGTAAATCAACTCTTCTAGAGGTAATATTAGATCTCGTAGATGAAGATTCTTAGGATCTTATTTTGCGAGAAGGTTTAGAGAAGAGATTGAACCATAGTTATTCAGGATCAAAGCTGAATTATCAGTTATCTGATAGTTTCTCAATTTATTCTTTTCTTTCTATTCGTTGGGTTAGTATTTTTAAACAAGAATAATATGAATATTTGTAGATAACAATCTAACTTCAGTTCTCTCAAGGGAAAGGTTCGAATAATTTCTAATTCTTAACTTTTCAAGAAAACAAACTTAGCTGTAACAATTAATATTTGGGATTAAGAATAAAAACTTGTTTATACCAAGAATCTTCATACAATAGCTTTATATCTACTATCTGGCATAACGTATTTAAATGAAAGTCCGTTATATAGTCATACTCTATACTTCATTCTTTGTATCCTTTTAAGATAGTGCATTGAAAGTTGTTCTTTAAAAACAGGTTAGCAAACAAAATTCTACTCAATTGATACCTATATTTGCCTTCTTTGCATCATTTACTTAACTTTACTTGATTACTATATAACAATTGTTCATTCTCTGTGTGTTTCGAGCGTATAAAACGCTCTTTTCTTGCTTCGGTGCGTTTTAGAAAACATGATTAGTTGCATTAATTTAGTTGTTATATAATAGCGCCTTGAGCTTTATTATTTGGATAGTTGATCCTCAAGTTCTTTTCGCTCCTTGTAGACAACCAAGTAATTGTAGCATCGTTTCATACTTGTATAACCCCACATATCCACAGCGCTGTATCGAGAGCTAAATTTTATAGTTTGTGGTTTTCATATCGTTAAACCTTACAAGCAGCTTGCAAGGATACGGCTTCGATGAGAGGCTATCGTTCTTCTGATATCTGTTCGCTCACTGTACCAAGACGGAATGACCGCATGCTCTGCCAAGAATACACGAGGATTGGTATGGATGGTCCTGGATGGTCCTGGTGTAAAACTTTTACAAGTTAACCAACGAGTCCTCCAGTGATTATCAGCGACGAAGAGATGGAAGAGATCGTTAGATTTGGCCACGACGTGATGTCGAGTTGACTGGCATCTGTGGTCGTTGTAACTGAAACTTGAATCTCCTTGAAAGACACCGGATCTGCTTGCTCACGAGTGAGTACAAGAGCCAGGTCTTATAATGTCACACTTTTTAGTTTGGAAACACGTTTAATGTTCATACAAGACTTCGTCGAGTTTCCTAGGCTCTTTCAATGAAGCTAGCCGAACAGCAACGAGCAGCTGATAATACAATTGTGGGCTGAGCCTCCCACCAGACTTCCTTGTAGCTGCAAAGTCATACACTCTATAGCACTGTAGGGTAAGGATCAATAATCACGGAGCTCTCCCCCCACAAAACTCTGAGAGAGCCAAAGTGCCTATAGCTAAGTATCCGCTGAAATTAACCTTCCAGAATATATGAATTATGGACTTTGTTTTATGAACAGAATTGCGAAATGCTGTTTGTTAGTTTACCTCATTAAAAGTCAGTGGGTTACTGAAAACCAACAAGCTACTCGTCTAACACTATTTCAGTATCCTTCATATCAGTTAACGGAATCTCCAAGAGCGGCATTTCTGGTGTTGTACCATGTCTAAATTATAGCCGTTGGAACATTCAGGGCATATTTATCACTGGCATACAAGCGTTTGTAGATAGCTACCTAAGCTTTTATTCTCTAGGTAAGGGCGTGATTGCTTCAACCATTTTCCGACCCTTGACCAGTACTGAGTGACATTAACAATAGTTGTGCACTACCTGTTTCAGTACTGCAGAGAAGGAAAAAGATATGCCTCGGTTCAACTGATCGCGTATCTGAAGGGATCGTAAAAGCTCCAGTCTCTTGTATAATGGCAGATTCGTGGCCATGGATGGTTCAAGTTTCTTAACAGCAATGAGTTCTCATAAGTAAGAGAGGAAACATATTAGGATCGACAATCTCGGACGGTCCAAAAAGTAATTATGTATTATTTTCGCCACTTGCTAGATATACAGGCTTCGGGCCAATCCAAATCGAACACTTTCATTTTCCCTCAGGAGATGCTAGAAGAAATTCAGTCTTAGGTCAGATTCAAACACAGTGAAGAATTATTCTCAAATAGCTCGGTCTGGAAAAGTCCACATGTCTGTTAAATATTGCCATGTATTGGTTAAAAACAGGTGCGCTTTCTTTGAGCCAAGGCGGCTTCTCGTTTCTTCACGATTTATTTAAGAAGTATATAAATGAGACCCAGGGGTGATGCCAAATTGCCAATATTAGCAAATCCATTAGATAACTTGAGATGGAGAGGGAGAAGCATCCATGGCCAGATACTCGAGTCAAAAACACTGATAGTTCTATGTAGGTAGTGAAAACCGGATGTAAAGCAGATGGGAAACGGGCTAGCAAAAGAGGATTACAGTAAATGGACCGTCCTCCCGGTACAGTATGCCATAAGCGAGCACCAAACCTGTCGCCTGTTGCATACAGCTTATTACTTTCTGGAGCAATATTCAAAATGCATCTGGCACTTTGAAAATGTTTCAGGCAATAAGCCATTACCTTATGATTTCTCTGTTCGGTAGACGATTTTCTCATTCCTACATTAATCCTACAGTATATGCTCGATCGAAACCCTCCTGTAGTGCGGTGTTTTCCCTCGTGATCTTAGCCCATTCTAAGCTCTTCCTCCAAACCCTTTGCTGTACGTCTTTTTCCATCGTAAGGGGGTCGCTCTCATCCTTCTTTAACAGATTGAAGTAACCACGTTCGCCGGTATGGGCTTTACCTACGGCAAACTCTGCAGCTCCGAGTCCGGCAGCAGCTGACGATCGAAATGTAGGGTCAACGAGATAATTGATGACCGACATAAACGGCTTCATGATGAAAGTTTGCATCAGCTGTACTGAGCGAGGTGTGTTGATTTGAAAGACATGTGAGTCACCAAGGCCGCCTGGATTGATCGCCACAACTGTGATGTTCTTGAATTTTGGATTCTTCAAGGGTTAGTCAGCTTTGTCACATACGAAAGAATTTAAGCGCACTTGTTGTAGATAGTAATCAAGAGGATACATCCAAATTGTTATTAGGAGCTTGGAATTAGGATATCTTTGAAAACCACGACCTTGCTTATCTGAGTCTGGAGAAGGATGATTTAGCATGCGATAGTGGCCAATACTCGAGAGAAGTACAATACGTCCTTCGTCTACAAAACTACCAAGGAGACGTAGAACGAGGGCTACATGGCTAATATGATTGACTTGCAAGGTCATGTCGTAGCCATCTGCAGTTTTTTCCGAGTCGGCGACAAGATTCCAGTGTGCAGCATTACAAATGATGGATCTTAAAGGCGGATAGTGTTCAGCTATTAACGCTGAAGAGCCTTTGCTCGGCAATGCATGCACTTCGAACAAGCTCGTCAGGTCCAACTTATGTATGGAGGCTTTGGCCGCTGGGTATCGTGCGATGACCCTGCGGAGTTCTTCGGTGTTGATATCAGACTCAGAAGCATTTCTCACAGTGAATATACAAGTAAACTCTTGGTTTATGTGCCTTGAGTAGTTGCTCAGCTGCGTGAAGACCGAGTGAACCGTTGGCTCTGTTAAGTAGAATAGAGCCAGTCATAATTGGAGAGTTGAACAAGAAAATATTCGGCGGCGAATAAACAATAGAAAAAAAAAGCATTTGAGAAGGGTAACGTGGTCAAATTTATATGATAAGGATGAAGTGTGTTGCAGGGGTAAATTGGGGGGAAAAGTAGCGTGTAACCGTACTTGTACACCACAAGTACCAGATAGGCCTTGGGGCAGATACATCCTAATTCCTTAAAATTTTGAATGTAATGTTCGTGATCGACCAACCAGAGAATCAATAGTCTTTAAACTAATTTCTTTTTCAGATTCCAAGGCCAACAAATACCGACGTTGGTCAGTGGAGGAGTGGGTTGGGATTTTGGTTGGGATTGTGGTTGGATATAGGGTTTTGGGGTTGGTTGTGTTAGGGTTGAAGAGATAATGAGTTTAGTGTTTATGGGCCTACATGTAAACTGCCTGACGGCAGTGAATTGATTGTAACGATTCGCTGCCAAGCCGCTGCCTCGCCTCGCTTAGCAACCCTTAAAGGTTCAAAAAAAAGTCCAAAAAAATTTAAATTATCTGATAAATCAGACGTTGGGTTCCAAAGTTTTAATAATTAGGCCTGATAAGCTTATAGACCTCAAGTCGTCTTACCACCTCGAGGCCATTGCTAATAAATTAGCTTTCTGAGGGTTCACTATCGGGGGTTGCCACCGACCTAGGCATGGGCGGCTGTTACACCACTACACCACCAGCCGGCTTCTAACTGCTCCTCGACACAAATGTGTCTTTGATAGATGCCGGTCTTTGTCTTATTTAGGCCTAAGAACGTTTGTGGATAGCCCGGTTCTAACCCTTGCACCTACTTTGGCGAGTGAATAACAACTGGCGAAAGCTCGGCGAGGCTGGTCAAATTTGTTGCCCACACTTAATATACCCAAGCTACCATTATTGATTAGACAAATATCTCTCGTACAAAATGAATATAAGATTAAGTAGTAGAAGCTAATTAATTATCTCCTAGATTTCGAGAGTTTACTAGCTGCAAGTGTAACACTAGCGTACGAACACGCTAAACAAGACCCTCAGAGTAATGATCCCGCATCCCCAAGAGTGCGCCGTTTATACAAGATCACGACGAAAAAACAAGTCTTTGTACTCAAGGCATGTGAGATAAGAATAGAGTTGGAGTCCTCTTACTTTGTTGGATTTGAGATTTGGCTTGGGGTTGTCTGGGTTACTTGACAAGCGAATGTTTTGCCTGGCGCTCATTATCCACTTGCTAAAATAGGTGACTGGGAGCGCGACTAGTTCTCATTTGATTTCCAGTCGAGATTTTCGAGATTTTCCTGCACGACCACAGATAGTGCCTCAAATTTTCAAAGCGATTTTCCAGGAGTTCATTGAATAAAACATCACCACTATGTCTGAGAACATCGATACCTACCGTACCCTACGGGACAAAATCATCAAGCGACCCATCCCACACAGCTACACCAAAACTGGCCGACCCGATTCCATTCTCCCGACCAAGCCACTCTGCAACGAGAAGTCCAAGCAAATGGCCAGACAAGCAACTGTTAGTATTCTATTCTTGAATATCATTCCTTTCGAAGATCATATTGATCTTAACTATACTATATAGGGAGAGAAAAACCACCGCGAAACCAGGAAGGTGCGCCGCGAAAACAAGCTTGCGCACCGCAAGCATGCAAAAGACCCTTTGGCTGCCCCAACCACCACCACTGCCGAACCCGAGGAGAAGGAAGAGAAGGAAAAGAAGAAGCGAGGCAATGGTCGAGCACGGAAGAGAATTCCGTCTAAGGCGCAGATGGGGGCCGATGAGCGGGAAGAGGTAGATATGAATGTTGGTAGGGAGGAATTCGAAGTAGGTGGTGAGGATTTCGCGGGATGGAAAGACGAGGTCGTCTTAAGACTAAAGGAGAATTGATAGTATAATTGAGATTAGCTGAGCGTATAATACGTCTAATTCCGCGATACTATACATATGTGTTTCTAGTAAAGTTATTCCTACTAATAGGTAGTAATTTCTCTTAACCCTTCCACACATGATTTTTGGAGGCGACAAACGCATCACAGGGAGCTCAGGTTCATGTCACTTGCGGATCAAAACTATTGTACCGTGATTGGCTCTCCGCGTATGCGTAGATGAACAACAGAGACCTGATAGTGGTTTCTTTGACTATGATGTCAATTGAAGGGGTTCGCTGCACACATTGTACTTCAGCATTGTAACAAGACCTGAGCTGATTTAATTTTAGAGACTCTGGACACGACTATCACAAGCGGACAAGAGAACCGAGAATTTTCCAACTTCGCACAGTCCTTTCAAGTCCATGACGAGGAGAAGACAGAGACGTTGAACGTACAACTCTGTTGCCCAGGTCAAGAATATGACCAGCAAGGTGAAAGTGATTGTGAATACGGTCAGAGTTGGGATATAGTAGGCTTCCAAGTAAGCACAGAGGACACGGGAGTCCGATACTTAATGATACTTAGAAGGTAATGTGTTCAGAAGTCTGCCATTGCATGTAAGAAGCCCAATAAATCAGCTTGAAAATTTATGTAAATGGAGACCAGAGACCAAAAGAAAGTTCGGAATGCCATTAACATCCATCCTCAACCCAACTCCACGAACCTCAATTCCGCCTCAGACCTCCATTCCCCATCCCTTTCCCCTCAACAAGCCCATCCATTTCCATCCAAGAAACCCAAACCCCTCATCTTCGAATAAGGCTACTCACAATCTCCACCTGCTCCCTCAGATACTGGAGCAACTTCCTCTTATCCGTTTCCGTTTCAATAAGCACCTTCAGTTCCTGGTACCTAGGAAGTACCTCGGGTCGATTCCTTGCAATGGCCGCCATAACGCGACGACTCACGTCTCGTTCGAAGGTGTTTGCAATTCTGGCTGCGTCGACTCCAATGCTATCATCGCGGTTGGTGTTGGAGTTGGTGTTGGTGTTGGTTGAACTTTCTCCGATCCGAGTGTTTTCTTGAAGTAATGCGGAGAGCATGTCGCCCATGCCGTCGAAGCAGGTTTTTGCTTGGTTGGCGTTGGGGGTGTTTTGTTTGTTGGGGTTTGACATGATTGTTATTTTGTTGTGTGGGAAGGTGTGAGTGAGTTATTGGTTGGTTGGTAAAGATTGAGGATGAAAACTGAGGGCGTAGACTAAATGTGAAGATTGCGAGTAAAGAATTTGAGTAAAGATTGACTGAATAATGAAAGTGAAGAAGAAAAAGAAGCAGAAAACGGGTGGAGGAGTCCAGTATTTATAGTGTGATGAAGAAATGAGATGAAGCTAGTAAGATTTGGAGGTTACTTCACTAACTCACACCGTCCTGAGAATTCTCTGTTTAGTATGAGTTCCATTCGCGCACTAACACATCACCGGAAGACCTTCACTTCAACGATATTTTTACCGCCGCGAACCGTCGCTAACTAGCAGCTTGCCTTTCGTCACTTCACAGCGGTCTACGACCACCGAAAAGAACTTGAATTTGACATACTCGTAACGTCTCCAATCGCCGGTCGCAAAACTGCGTGGATATGAAGCGTTTGGACTGATTAAACATGTTCGCTTTTGATCTTGCTACCTAGTGAGTACTCTAATGACGTCTAGAGAAATATCGGATCTCAAAAAGTCGCTAAAACCCACTATCAGTTATTTTTTAGAAGAGAAACCGATGAATTGCTGTAAGCGACCAAAGAACCACCTGTTGAATAGCAAAAGAAATACCTAGCAAGAAACGAATCTTGAGCTTCTTACCTACCTACCTATCGTCAAAAGACACCGGATGTGGTAAATTTATCTTCCGAGTGCTCTCCTAGGTAGAGATGGCGTGTAAGGCTTATATATGACCATGACGTAGACGTTTTGTAAACCCTTCCATCTGCGACTGTCAAAATCGTCTTGTTAAAGAATTGAGTCAAGAAGATAGGAAGAAGTAATTGATACAGGTATAGAAAAGAAAGCCAGTATTTATCTCTATGCTCAACAGATATTATAAGCAATTGCAAACTAGGCAAATCATCGGTTTTTGGTGGGGTTCGGCTAAATGGCTCAGACTTATTCGCATCAACTGTAGAAGGTACAGTATAGATAGATGGTTACCTCTTTAAACGGTATAGAGGTAGTATTCTACCGGGGCAGGTAGCTAGAAGTATCGCGGTAATTTAGAGATTTTACTAAGTAGGAAGGGGATGTAATAAGTCGCATTCTAGTTGTCTTATTCTTTTCGTTATTCTTTAAAGGATCCGAAACAATTGAAGCGACAGACACTGATATGCATTCTCCTTACTCGGGTACTTACCTAATATGTCGATCACGAACTCGCCTCACGAGCTCCAATCTTCGGCGATAAAGACTTCCATGCTTCTAATCGCCGGTACTGTAGACTACAGCCCCTCACTCAGCTTCCAAGAACAATCCCAACATCCTCTTTCACATCTCCATTCAAACAAATTACATACCGGTATTGATCCATCCAATCTCCTCACACCTCCTTCACCCCCATCAACATCACAAAACTCATTCCAACTCACATCTCATCGATAATCCCTCTGGGAAATCGAGGCTAGATGTGTACGAAAATATCTAACACCCGCCGCGGGCCGTCCCGGGGTATAAAACTATCCCTAGCGCGTATATTTTCGTATACTAATAGTAGGCGCAAAACCTTAAATATTATAATATAAAATGTACTTAATTCTCCTACTAATCCCCTATAGTATATATAACTATCTAGCTATATAATAAGCAAGGTCTAAACAGCTTATCCTACCTAACTCTAACCTAATTATATAAATAATAAAAGACGTCCCCTAAGATATCCCTCTAAACAAAGAAATCCTACTATACTCTAATCTTCTTGATACTAAGAATTCCCTCTAATAACCTCTATAACTACCCTCCGAAGTTTCCCCCTTGTTCGTATTTACTATAAAGAACCCTTATCTAATAACAAACTCCCTCTGTGTAACGAATACTCAAACTGGCTAACTAAACTTGGCTGGGTGTTCGCTGGTTGGTATGCTATGATAAGAAGAAGACTATCGGGTTGTTCACTTGGAAGTGAACTCGTTACTTGTATCAAAGACGTCAAACTAATATGATAAAATTGATAACTAAGTTAAGCACGAAGCTCCTATCTAATGGCAGACGTGCCAGTCTTATATAGAACCTTCGTGTTCCTGAAGTCGACAATGTCGACCTGCATATATCACGTGACCTATATACAAAGAAATCCCTGGATCGCTTAACTAACCTAAGCGATCCCTTTTTGCTATAAGAGCCATGATGTGTTTGTCCTGTCAGAACCCCGTCTGGACTAACTCCTCACGTGCTAGCACGTGATTTGTGACACATCAGCTGTGCGTGTCGTCACAGGAAGTTGTTTTCTCTTAAAGAATAGTAGTTAGTTTAGATATAGAGACTATTATACTTTCTTTATTTATAGAGTTTTTATATAAATTATAGATTCTTTAGTATTTAGGTTCTTTATTATATTTACTTTGTTTATACTTTTATAAGTATAGTAATTAGAATAGAGAGATAGAAGGTGTGACGACACGTACGCAAGGCCCACGGTGTAGGTTGTGGAATCGTAGAACTGTCAATTAAACAAAGATTCTAAGCTGAGGAGAAGAGGAGAGCTCGAGAGAGCTTCGATCTAAATACTTGGTGTGGGTCGCTAAGCGAGACCACGTGATCCGAATGGTGGTGACGGTTAGAACCGTCACAGAAGGAGACTTTATATTTATAGAAGTAATAAATAGAAGTAGATTAATTACTAATCCTTTATTACTAATTTTTACTTAGTAGAGGATTATAAAGTATAAAATCCGAAAAGTAGAGACGTCTACTTTATAGTACTTAGATCTTTACTTTTGACTACCTAATTAGGCCTATATACGAAATTTTCGTACGTATACGAGAATCTCTGCCACCGAGTTCCCAGAGGGAATCATCAAAACATACTCAACTACAAAATGTCTTCTCGCCATAGCGTCTTCACATCCGGGAATACCGCCGTAATCTCAGGAGGCGCATCAGGTGTAGGATTCGCTCTCGCAAAGAAATGTGTGGGATTCGAGATGAATGTCGCCATTTGCGATATCAACGCCGAGAATCTTGAGAGTGCCGTGGGGGTCCTGAAGAATGGTGGGAAGACGCAGGTAGAAGGTGTTGTTGTTGATGTTGGGGTTGGGGTTGTGGGTGATTATGTTAAAGTTAGGAAGGTGGTGGAGGAGAGGTTTGATGGTGGGCTGTTTTGTGTAGTCTTTGTTGTTATATTTCATATTTGGATGATGGGGGAGTGAAAACTGGGGTTGATTCTTTGATATGTTCGGAATCGATGGACAGATAGTTGCTTATTGATTCCAAGACTAACAATACATAGGTAAGATCTCACTCCTCGTTCTCAACGCCGGAATGGGCATCCGCACCACAACTCCTTGGGAAGACCCAACGTATTTCGAGAAGACTTTCCAAACCAACATCTTCGGCATCACCAACGGACTTTGTGTTCTTCTCCCCCTTGTTCTAAGCCAGAGCTCACCATCTACTCCCACCTCCATAATCATCACCGGCTCCAAACAAGGAATCACCAACCCCCCCGGAAACCCCGCCTACAACGCCTCCAAAGCAGCCGTGAAATCCATCACCGAGAATCTCGCCTTGAATCTTACCACCAAGTCTCCTAGCACCTCGGTCCACCTGCTGGTTCCCGGTTGGACCTTCACAGGCATGACGGGGAATGTGGGAACGAGGGGTGGAGGTGGGAAGGAGAAACCGGCGGGTGCCTGGTGGCCGGAACAGGTCGCGGATTACTTGGAGAGGAAGATGGGTGAGGGACAGTTTTATGTGGTTTGTCCTGATGGGGATGTAAGCGAGGAGATGGATAGGAAGAGGATGCTTTGGGATCGGTTGGATCTTGAGGAGGGGAGACAGCCGTTGACGAGGTGGAGGGAGGAGTGGAAGGAGGCGGAGAAGAGGTAGAATTTGAAAGCCTGTTTTTCTTAATTATTTAAAGGAATCTCAATCTCCGTCACGTATCAGTGCTTTCTCATTGCTTCTCCTTCTCAAGCATACCCTCCTCCGCATCCCTCCTCCCCCCCTCATTCCCCCTCCTCACAAACTCGGCAATATACTCCGGAACCCCATCCACCAAATTCCNCATACCCTCCTCCGCATCCCTCCTCCCCCCCTCATTCCCCCTCCTCACAAACTCGGCAATATACTCCGGAACCCCATCCACCAAATTCCCCCCCGCACCCTTCGGCTCCCCATACTGCACCCACGTCGGCACAACCCCCGTCCAAACCCTCCTCCTCACCTCCTCATCCCCCATATCCTTGCGGTCATCATGCGGCTCCCCAGCCCTCACCTTCGCACTCGCATCCACTACCCTCACCCTCAGAATCTGCGTCGACATCATCTCCGCCTTCGTAGGCGGGACTCTCGTCTGCTTCCAGCGATCCGGAATGACGGAGTTGGTGAGTCTTTCCATGGCCCAGAGTTTCTCCTCGTTGTTGAGAACGGGGGTTGCGTACCCGTGGAGGATGGCGGAGCGGTAGTTGTACGAGTGGGCGTTGGGGGTTAGTGCGAGGACTAGGCCGTCGAGATGGGTCGCGGAGATGGTTAGGGGGAGACCTTGTTCTTCTTCTTCATTTTCTTCTTCTCCTTTTTTGTTTTTGGTACCGAGGTCGCTTAGTCTCATGAGACGCGACGAGATGTAGCCGTGCAAATAGAGATCTAGCGGTTCGGAGAGCGAGGCGGAGGGGTTGGTGAAGGAGCCCATGAAGCCGATCATGGGGAGGATGGCGGGGAAGGGGTCATCTGGCGAGGGAGTGTTGAAGGAGACGTGGAGGAGCGGGGTGGTGTTGATGATTTTGTGGATGGTTTGGTAGTCGTAGGTTCCTGTTCCTTTTGGTTAAAACTTATAGTATCGAGGTTTGTAAGGAGGGCGTAGGGTGTACCCCGTGCTTTGTAGCGTTGGACGGTGTTGCGAGGGAGTTTTGGGTAGCTGGGTGGGTTGGGATCGTTCATTTTGACAGGGCTTTGGATTCGGGAATCTAGTGTTTTCAATTCATAATTTGGGGGATCGTGAGTTCGATTACAAAGATGTAGATATATTCATGAGTCACATGGATTCCAATTCCGTGGATTTATTCCATAGGTAGGCACCTACGGAGTCGGTGATATCTACCAATGAAGCTCCCTCATTGATCAGGGAGCACCCAGTCCAAAACAGGCAATTCCAACCAGAAGATTTTGATTCGTCATTTGTACCTAATGTCCAATCAGCTGAATTAGGTTTCACCTTAAAACTATATATACTTAAAGTAAAACTATTATTCCACTTCGAGTCTTAGATACTTATACTTAAGTACCTTCTTAGTACTTTTATATAGGTGTATTAAGCTACCTAGGTAAGATGATGGGCTTTCGTAAAGGATTTTATATTTCCTATTAACCTTTTACCTCGGGTTTTTATACACGTGATTATGCCGAGTTTTGGTGTAAAAAGTGTAAATGGCTTAGACTTAATCGCTAGTACAGTATGTACACCCTTCAATAATTTTTCGATGTAGTATCGCCAGGATATAGGAGCACGGATATACAAAAAGAGTCTTGATGCGGGTATGGTTTTACTTCTTTTAGTTCTCTATTTTTTTCTCATTGGCTTTCGTACTCGAGATCCTAATACGCGAACTACTAACAACTACAGTAAGTAGACGGACGTACCTGTCACACAAGCGACCTTGAAAGATCCTCCATCATCGCATTTTCCACGATTGACTCTCCTCTTTTTCATCGCTTGCTGACTTCCAGGTCATGCTCACATTCAACGCTCTCGAGTTATCCTCCGGAACTGCATATTCGAGCTCTCCACTCAGCTGCTCTCCTGCCTTCATCGCAGTGGACTCGGCCTTCTCTTTGGTGCTATCAATGAGCATCACGCCTTGCTTCCAATGAGTGACCTTCCCGCCTGGACCCGTGGTAAACGCGTTACCTTTCTTGCCTGACGCGGCCCATTCTTCGGCCTTTGCATTCTCAGGCACGACCTCCTGTCTTGTTCGCATGAAGAAAGAGTCAAACCAGATGATGAAGCCGTCGAGGGCATCGATATCTTTAGTTAACTTGGCCTCCCATTTTCTTTTGAAGACCAAGTCTTTGACGGTGGTGGTGTGTAAGCTGAGCTGTAAGAATGGGAATGGTTCGGAGCAGAGAGTGCTAGCGGGCATATCAAGAACTTGTGCATCTTCGTGGATACCTGCTTGCATAGATTTCATGTCGAATCCATAGACATCTCTCCAGAAAGCAATGTGATCAGAGATGTAATCGGGGTCCGCAACTGGTGCCACCCACATATTTATGTGACTTGGGACCATCAATCCATCAGGTTGGAGATACTTGTCTCGGGCCCAAATGACACTGTCAAACATAGCCTCGTAGAGAAGGCAGTAGCCCATCCATTCGGAGACAATGATGTCGACTTTATCAACGGGTAATTTCACTTCTTCGATTTTACCACGAAGACAGGTGATTTTATCCGCAAAGCCGTTATTGAAAATGTTTTCACGGGCCTTGTCGATTATGGCTGAATTGTCCACAGAAATTACGCGAGATGCTCCTGCTTTGGCACAGAACATGCTGAGAATTCCCGTACCACATCCCACGTCAAGGACAACTTTGCCAGCGAAGAGATCTTTGTTGTTGTAGATGAAATCTCGGTAAGCGTCGGTGCGAATGGTGTCTTTTAGCATGGTCTCGTGAATATCTGTTTTTGTTAGTAAACCCGATTCTCTCTGAAAATTGACACTTACCATTGTACGAGTAAGAGCTAAAGTAATGGCTATCATCATCTCTCTTTTCTTCCGTCTCTTCTTTCTCAGATCCGTTCTTGTCTTCCCACTTCTTATCCAGGGTCTCCTTGACAGTATTTTGATAACTCTCAAATTGAAGTTGGACTCTTCGCAACTCGTCTTCCAACTCAGAAACACGAGCCACAAGAGCACCAGGATCCTTTTCCATTCTCTTGGCCTTGTCATTTTCCTCGGAATCCTCTGCGCCTGCAACTTCAGGGAGGTCGTCGAGGCTAAAGAGGACAGCATCATCCTCCAAAATAGGCTTCAAGAACTTTTCGTCTTCAAAATCTTTTCTCGACAGATCCTGTGGGATAGATTTTCCATCGTGAACCTGTGATCGAATAAAATTGACCAATTTGATGTTGCCATAAAAATCTAAAGCCAACTTTTGTCTAAGATCAAGGAAATCCAAATTGTGCTTTTCTTTGCAATGTTTGAGCATCTGATTGATATCCGAAAAAACTTCATCATCCATCAAGGAGATGAATTGAGTAGTATCTTCCTCTGGCTCGGCATCTTCCCATCCTTCATCGTCCTTGAGATCCAGGATATCGGCTTCTGAACTTGCAGAAGATGTAGGCGCATCGGTTTCCTTTTTGGGGGTGGGATCAGCCATAATGCGATGCTGTGAACTTGAGCTGTCAAGTCACGTCTTGGGCAAATTTTGTGCAGAAGTTGGGTGGATGTGTGTGCTGGCTTGGTGGGGGAGGGGAGTATGGAGGGGAACCTTCCAAAATTCTTGGAGGATAAATTTACGGGGACCATTTTGTGCCATCTGCGCAGAATGGACCGCCGTAGTAATCACACGTGGAGAAAAGATGAGCTTGCCCATGAACACCTGCAATGTTGGGGGATGGGAGGAAATGCCGGAGTCATCCATGCCACCAAAGGCTTGAAAGGTCAAAAGAAGCATGGTGACATCGATTCAGGGCAGACTTGCCGATGTTCGACGTCATAAGATAATTGGATTCTTATGCAATTTATATGTGTGTACTCTAGTACTTCGAAGTATACTGTCGAGACTGTACTCGTAGACTGTAGTGTCCCGAGGTGCCTGGGTCATTCAGTGGGTGAAGGAAGCTAACGAGTACCTAAACTCTAGGTAGGGTAGGGTACTATAGGTAAACAATGGACGAACGGGCTGCCGCAGGGACAAGTGACAGCGACAGGGGTTCTAGGGGCCTACTGTAGGTCCTCCGCATCCGGGGCCGGGGCATCACATCGGCATTACTCTCACTGTGCTTGCTGGCTCCCAGTCGTTGGCGCTTTCTCGCTGGCTCGCGAGCTCTGAAGCTCCAGCCTCAAGCTCAAGGCACAGCACAGGTACCCCATACAGGCACAAGGGCCAAGGGCTCTCTGTCTCTCTGGTGGCTCCTGAACTTTGACTCCAAAACCTCAGGACTTGCAAACAAAGCAACCAAGTGCTCCAAACCTACCCCTACCCAGAATCTCTCTATTCCTTAGGCACTCTTCTGCACACTGCACACTGCATCCTGCACACTATGTTATGCTGAGGTAGCTTTCGGCGTTATTCTCTCAGCAACAACACTGAGTACCGTCTGCCGTCCAGTGTTTGGAATACCGAATACCGAATACACCCCTCCCCCCACTGCTAGTCGCTTCGAAGCTGCCGCAGCGTAAACAACCACCATCATGTCTTTTCTATTCGGTCGGAGACCACGAACCAACACCGTTGATCTGTCCAAGCAAGCCCGGGAGCAGATCCTCAAGCTAGATGGACCAGGCGGGGCTGCAAAGGTACACCAAATCCGTCACTAGGTGCTGGTGCTGGTGGTGGTGGCATGGTATGGCGTGAGGCGTTGTCGCTGACCTTTGCATAGGCCGAAGAGCTGGCCAAAACTCTGAGCCAGATGAAATATGCCTTGCAAGGAACTCAAGGTAAATCCTCACGTCGATCCTTGGTGATGTGCCAATATTCTAACACCAAAATCAACAGAAGCCGAGGCAGCCCCCGATCAAGTACACAGTCTGGTGATGGGGATGATCCAAGAAGACTTACTCTACCTTCTCGCCGTGAATTTGCACCGACTCCCCTTCGAATCCCGAAAAGATACCCAAGTAATATTCTCCCATGTCTTTCGTTTCCGCCCTCAATCTGCCTCACCGAAGAGCGAGCCAATGGCCCTCAGTTATGCCATAACCAACCGAACCGAAGTGTTCATAGAGCTCTGTAATGGATATGATCACAAGGAGAGTGCTACGCCCGCCGGAACTGTTTTGCGAGAAGTGTTGAAGAATGAGCAGGTGGCTGCCATCATTCTATATCATGAACCAGTAGAGGGAGGAGGGGTAAACACAAAGGGTCTTTCGGGAATACAAATAGATGCAAAGCAGAGTGGCAAGGGCGTTTTCTGGAAGTTTTTCAAATGGATTGATCAGGGTTCCTTTGAGGTTGGAGCGGACGCATTTACTACATTTAGAGTAAGTTCTCCATCAGGCAACCGGAGATTAATGACTCACTGGATTAGGAATTATTGACGAGGCACAAATCGGTGGTAGCACAGTATTTGGGCACCAACTTCGACCTATTTTTTGATCAATACAACAATACTCTCGTCAAGTCGGAAAGTTATGTCACAAAACGGCAATCCATCAAACTGCTTGGAGAGATTCTTTTGGATCGAGCAAATTATGCTGTGATGACGGCTTACGTTGACCGAGGAGAACATTTGAAGATTTGTATGAATCTTTTAAGAGACGAGAGAAAGATGGTTCAGTATGAAGGGTTCCACGTATTCAAGGTTTTCGTGGCGAATCCACACAAATCGATTGCAGTACAAAAGATTCTTCTCATTAACCGAGACCGATTATTGGTCTTCCTGAAGCATTTCCTGGAGGATCGGACCGAGGATGAACAGTTTATCGATGAGCGAGAATTTTTGATTAAGCAGATAAAGAACATGCCCCCTACACCCGTTGAGCCGACTCAAAAGCCGGCTCCTTTGGGATCGCAATCGCGTTAGGATGATTATGAAGTTTTTCTTAGGAGTGTTGTTGTAATTACGAATCGGGCATTGCGGGGTATGAGCATGGAGTTTTGGGCATTGGGAATTGAGATGGATAGTGATCATGACGATCAGGCCAGGGCGTTTGTTACATATGACCTAGATTCGAAATGATTATGACTTTTTTGTTTGTTTGGCAGGTTTACGTGAGGATGATGTGATGTTGGTTTGAAGGTTGGTTGGGGAATTTACGAGTCTATGAAGACGTTGTTGTATTGGATCATGGGGTTCTTCGCTCTGGGGTTGTTAGTACTACCCGCTTAGGCTAGTATATTTTTTTCTACGAAGGATAGTTCTCATTATTCGTTTTTGAATTTATTTGTAGTTATATATTGATTGCTGTATGAGTAGTAACTTGATTCATTGGTGGCAGTATATTGGGCGCCGCCTTAAGCTTCCTATAGACGGCCATAGCTTGCTCGCTTGCCCAGGCTACGGCTACGGCTACGGCTCACTCATCGGTTTCGCGTACGAACCAACGCGATTTCTTGGAGCGCAACCCAACGCAGCGCAACGACAAAAGTTAGAGCCAACTTGTGTTACAAGACAGACCAACAGACCAGTCATTTCCAAGTCAATCTGCCGAGTGCAGCGACCCAGGTTGCAAGATGCAGCCTCACCCTCAATATCGAGGAATGCCCCAGCGTTCTCCTCACGCTGCTGTCGCTCAATCCAACCAGCGCCGTGGAATAGGTGAGTGTCAATGCCACCAAGAACCAATGCGCCCAGTGTCATCCGCCGACGGCGACCTCATCGCATTGCGCCCTCTTCACTGTGGCACTGGCCACTAAGATAACGTATCATTTGTACTGACTGGAATTGGCTGCTTAGGTCCTATGGTCGGCGTACATCCAATACCGTCGCAAATGCAGGCTCAACAACAAGCTCAGTCGCGGGCGAGCGATCGTGCGAAGATCCGAAGTCAGAAACCCACCGATCGGAATATCCCTGAGGGCGTGGAGGATTGTATTATTGGGGATGGCGTACAGCGATATAGAGATTTGCGAGAGATTGAGCGGAGGTTGGATTCTACTATGATGAGAAAGAGGTTGGATCTTCAAGATTCCGTCAACAGAAATGTCAAGGTAGGTGGATTCGGCGCATATGTTTGGGTGGGGTGTTGACAGGTTGTAGCGCTATAGAACATTGCGGGTTTGGATTAGCAATACGGTAGAAGACCAGCCCTGGCAAGCCGACTCTCTCGATGTCGACACGTTTGATTTCAGCACAAACCTAGACTCGTCATTTCGAGTCAAAATCGAGGGGAAACTTCTGGATGAGCCAGCTGAAGACCTAGATAGTGATGATAGCGACAGTGAAGACGAAGCGGCAGACCCAGATGCGATGGATGAAGATGGCAAGGAAAAGAAGAAAAAGACCGTAATTCCACCCAAGGAGTACAAGTTATCCCATTTCTTCAAAGCCATGACCGTAGACTTTGATCGCAAAGGTAGGGATGGGACAGACCAGAGCGTGGAATGGAAGAAACCAGCTCTACCGGCCAATGCCAAAGACCTACCAAATGCGGCAGATTTTGATCAATTGGAATTCAAGCGTGGAGGAGATGAGAATATGAACATTACCATCAATCTTACTCGAGACGAAACCCCAGAGAGATTCAAGTTGAGCCCAGTCCTTTCTCAAATACTTGACACAATAGAGGCCACTCGCTCTGAGGTAATTATGGGTATTTGGGAGTATGTTAAAGCCAATGGCTTACAAGAAGACGATGATAAGCGATCATTTACCTGCGATGATGCGCTACGAACAGTAAGTAGTTTATGTATTAAACGCGCTCATGATCTCTTTAGCTAACACTTGCAGCTCATTGGTGGCCGAGAAAAAGGATATATCCCCTACCTCACAGAACATATTTTAGCACACATGACCACTCTTCCACCAGTCAAGCTTCAATACACCATCAGAACCGACAAAGCTTTTCATGAGGATCCCCGGCCCACTATTTATGATATCCAGGTCCAGGTCGATGACCCACTTCGAGCAGCACTTATCTCCTACCTCGGCAACGATTCCTACACCCAGAATCTGATCGAAATTGGCCGTTTGAATGAACATGCAGCTGTCCTCGTCCAGAAGATTTCCAACTCCAAATCTAAACATGCATTCTACGACGCCTTGTCCAAGAACCCCACATCATTCATCGCCAAATGGCTCAGTTCCCAAAAGAGAGATCTGGAGGTTATTTCGGGGCGAGCCACGAGAGGTGGTGGTGAGGATGCGAGTGGTGATGAGTGGAGAAGAGGCGGGAAAGATGGGATCTGGGGAAGTACGAATGTGAAGGAGAGTGTGGATTTGATCGTTGGTCAGAAGGCGAGGATGTGATACAAGTCTCTTGAGTTTCTAGGTTGGGCGTGTATTAAGGCAGGGGAGCTTTTCTTCTTTTCCTTGGGACCTGGGAAGGGGTGGGGAGTATGTAAGATGTCTGGCTGATAAGTCATGATTTGAAAGTCTGTTTATTTAGATTTATGAAAGGCTGGCTTGGTCAGTAGACTGATGTTTACTTGGCTTGCTACTGTAGCTAGCTAGTTGGGGAAAATGATAATACATCCTATCCACATCCGTTCAATTCACTGCCTACTTCGTGTGTGACTTATCCCGGATGTGGAGGTCTGATTTCTACACACTCTCCACGCCTCCTTCAGAATCCACGTACGAGTATATATGATTTAATGTATGGTGATCTTATTGGTTTAGTCCTTGCTGTGGATGGACGGGTGTGTAATATTGATTACTACTTATAGGGGAGATGTTACCTTGTGATCTTTAAGGATCTTTGAGATGGATAACTTTTTGTTTTTATACTGGGTTGGTGATACGCGTGTCAAGAAGGGATTGCGCTTGGATTTTGATCTTCAAGGCTTGTACGAAGTATATAAAGAAGTACGATCCATGTCTTGAGAATCTATAGTAATCTTACAGTACTATAGATTCCTTGACATCTGATACCGTCTATCCCCCCCTCCGCCCTGAGGATGTTATGACGCATTTTGGGGACTTAAAGGTCTACCGAGGACCTGTGGTGCTTGCTGTTCATACTACTGTATTATGCTTATACTGTATATCTCTTATCTATCCTTGGGATTTCGGGGTTCTATATATAAGTAAGTGTTTTTATATATGCATGGCTAGGAAGATCGATGGGGTTGGAGATGGTGAGCTGGGCTGGGAATATTAATGGAGGGGTTGGTTGTCTTGATTCTTGGGTTTGATGTGATGTTGGGGGTTTGAGGGAGGGGGTGGATGGGATTGCGGAATTGGTTTGGTAGGGAGATAGGGGATAGGGGATTGAGGATGGGTAGAGGAGTGGTAGGCGATGGGGGTGGGTTGTTTGGTACTGTAGTCACGAGCAGAGTGGTGATATTTACTTGTGTTATAATTATTAATTAGTACGAGCACCAGGTGCTTAGACGGTAGGATGAGATGAGATGAGATGATGAAATGGATCGACGGTAGGGAACTGGATTTACTCGTACCTTGAAGGGAATGTATTGTTAAGCTAGATAGATTGTATTCATCTACCTTGGACTTTGGGCTAGTTCTCTTCCTATATAGTAAGGTGTAATATATATACTTATTCTTAAATAAATTATGAAAGTTAGGAATATCTTTTCGCTAGATTGGAGGTTTATAGAGATTCTAGAGGAGAATAGGAGTTTTTAGAGGAGTTTTTATACTGAGAGGGTTTATTAAGACTTGATAGTTGGGAAATATAGGTTAGTAAGGTTATATGTTACTATATATTTCTACTATATGATATAATTAATTACTTTTAATTACGCTATAGAGAAGGAAAATTTAGAGAGGGATATTACGTGATAAAGCTAATAAAGGACTTGGTAAATTAACGCTTAGGCGTCCAGTATTTTATTACCCTCTTCTCTTCTCTTATTTAATTAAAATTTAAATTTACTATACTAGTAGAGTAAATATTAGTTAGATTACTGATTTATAAAGAGAGAAGGAACTAATAAACTATTAGTACCTGTCGGTATATAATTATGGTGATTAGCACCTCGTACGAGAGCTTGGTGGTTCTACATGCTTGGTATCATGTGAGTGGCTTGCCACTCACATACTTAAGCTCGTAGAGCACCACATCTCTCTACCTTTACTCTTCACGAACAAATGAATACACCGATTTAGTTACCTCCAAAGAGAAGGTGACCTGAATCCCGTATTCGCCGTCGTCACGACCACCAGGTCGTACCAACAGTACCCATATTACTAATATAAATTCTATTATTTAATATATAATCTATTTACTAATATAGGGTCTAGAATAGGTAGGTAACCTATTCACTCTAAATTTAAGTAGGTGTAAATAACGTACTAAAAGCTCGAACTACTAGTTAGGCGAGAAGGGGGGGGCGCCGAATAGCGAAAAAGATTAGTAGAGTAAAGTCGAGTAGGAGTACCTACTTAATCCTACTTATGTAGGATTTAATCCTACTCTAACCTACTCGCCAAGAGTTAAGTAGGTCAGAGTACTACTTAAGTAGTATAGAGGAACTCGGACCAAGGCTCTATAGCGCGCCTAGGGGTTCCGGTTTATCAGTCTACCTACTCGGACTTAGCTAACTATATAAGCGAGTTCTTGGAATAGTAAGTTTATATAGGCTTTATATATATTAAACTCTTTATTAATTAGTTCTATAGACTCTTCCTTTAAACTAGTAGAAGGTAAATAGTAGTAGCTTTATTATTTAATCTATTTTAGCGAGAAGATATTTATAAATACTAGCTATTTATACTTTAGTAACTATTTATAGTAAAGCTACTTAAGTATTACTTAAGTAGTCGAGTCTACTACTCTAACCTCTTAACTAAACTACCTACTTAAACCTACTCTAACCTAATTAAGTATAACCCGGGTATACTTAAGTAGTCGAGTAGTTCTTTCTTTCGCTAGTCGAAATACTAGATGCCCAGGCGTCGATTTACCGGCTCCCGATCTTAAGGAATTTACTTAAAACAAATTAGTACGAGAACCCTTTTTACTATTCTTAGGCTCCTTTAATTAAAAGCAATACTTTTGCTTACCAGTTCTATTAATATTATATGGAAAATTTAAGTAACTAATCCTTTATATTTTTTATTTCTTAAGAGCTCATTAAGCAGCACTAGTCTTCTAATGCGTTTATCCTAAACTACTTCGCGTAATATCTTCTAGAACAATTCACTAAGAACAATTAACAGCAGTCGCATGCCTGTGATGGGTGTCAGTAGAGTGAGAAAACATGATGATTTTATGTCGAATTTGCTAAAAGTCTGAATCATTTCTGTATTCAATTTAGCCTTAGAAGCAGCCAAAAGGGGGTACTAAGCAAAGCCACTCTATCAAATAACCTTCGAGTAGCAGAATCTTCCACTTAGAAATCAAATACAGCGCACTTTCAAATCTCATCTGGTACTTTCGGAGAAAATTACCAATCTAACTCCGATATTGTTGATGGCGTCATTCACATGTTCGTGCAAACATTTGATTCATAAGCACATGGCGGGGAAGTTTACGAGCTACGAGGATTAGCAATCACCTTGCGAATCAGATGGCTCAATCTGTTTGGTATATATAAAACGCAGAATAAGGAACTTGTAGCATTCAAACCCACATTTCTGAATCTCACAAACACTTCTTCAGCGAAACTCCATTCAACAAAATGGCTCCCATTAGAGTTGGCTTAATCGGTCTTTCTGGTACACCACCAGATAAGTACGAGGGTACTAGTTGGACAGCAATTGCTCATTTACCATATCTAAAAGCATCTCCACATTATGAGATCGTGGCGCTTCTCAACACGTCTATCTAAACGGGCAAAGAAGCTATCAGAAGAAACGAACTTCCTGCTGAGACAAAAACCTACTATAAGCCCGAAGGTTTGTTCTCTCCGAATGTTGCTTCGATGAGCTACAGTCACTGATGATTTGCAAGACCTTGCTGCAGATAAAGATGTCGATCTTGTGGTCTGTAGTGTTCGTGTGGACAGACATTTCTCCAGCGTCAAGGCCAGCATCATCGCCGGCAAAGCCGTTTTTGTTGAATGGCCTATGGATAGGAATCTCGAGGTCGCGAGAGAAATGGAAGCTCTTGCTACTAAGCATAAAGTCAAAACCATTCTTGGTCTTCAAGCATCGCATTCTCCGGTCGTTCGCAGGTTGAAAGAGGCGATTGAGAGTGGAAAGATTGGAAAGATACATTCCAGTACCCAATTTACATCGCTTGGGTTCGGAGCCAAGACAGTGAGTAAGAATGTGAGGTATTTCGTTGACAGAGACATTGGAGGGAACTTGTTGAGTATTCAAGTTGGACATTCGCTTGAGTCTATTCATTTTGGTATGTTCGTGTCAATTTGCCTTTCAAGCTCTATTATACTAATACTTTACAGCACTGGGAGACTTCAAAACTTTTCAGAGCCTCCTCGTAAACACTCACCCAATCAAAGACATCGTTGATCCTTCGAAAGGTAATGAAGTCGTTGTGAAAGACACCCCAAACAACGTCCCAAATGAGATACTACTGCAAGGTATTCTGGAATCATCGGGTGCCCCGTTTTCGCTTCATTATCGCGGCGGAAAAGTTTTTCCGGGCACGCCCGATATAGATTGGCGGATTCAAGGCGAAGATGGTGAGTTACGACTCATCTCTCCTATGGGATTGAATGTGGGAGGTCCAGCTACGAAGCTGGAACTATATGATGTCGCGAAGGATACGGTTGAAGTTTTGGAGGCGGAGAAAGACGAATGGGATAGTTTACCAGTGCCGGCACAGAATATCGCTAGAGTTTATGAGGCGTACAGAAAGGAGGAGTGGTATCCTGATTTCACTTGGGGAGTCAAGAGACATGAGACTCTCCAGAAGATCTGGGATCAGTATGATAGCTACATCAGCGAACAAAATTAAGGGCGGGGGATGTTTTGAAAAACTGAAGCTATGAAGATAATCAAGTTGGGAGGGCATTGCGCTTTTGAATCCCTCTAAATTGTGTTTCTACCTTGGATCGGGGGTCATTGCAGTAGTCAATCCAGTATGGTTGTTCTACTTTGTTCGACTAATAGGAACCTCCCTCTTTAATATATATATATATAGCTATTTATACCTAATAGTAGAATAGTAGTGAACTATGCTAATACGTATCGAGTATGTTGTCCTAGCTATACGTGACTAGCTAATAGTAAATAGCTGAATGATTCAATAATTAAGTATTAATACTCGAGTATTTTATTTTACTTCAGAGTAGTTTGAATTCTCTTAACGGTTAGAAACTAGTCCAAATATATCCTCGGGACCTCTTGAATTTTAGTTTCAGAGCCTTATAATCTAGAATATTCCATTCTATAATAAAGGACCTCTGGAACATTCCACACTAGATTAGAAAATGGGAATTCCATGGAATCGAGTTCCAGATGCCGAATGCTAGGTTGAGGGACAAGTGAGATACCGTCACACTTCTCGAATGATGCTTTCCAGCCATCATGCTGGCATGGTAATCTTCTATTTTAGGGAGAAAGATCCGGCACTTTTCATAGTTTCACGTGAAGATTCATGAAAGAATGGTAGTGATATCTAGAAAAATATCCTGTTTAGTAAAAGAAGTGGAGTCAAGACAGGCATGTTTGAGTATTTGTACTAAATCACTGGCACACAATACACATCCCACTCTGTCGCAAGCCCGCCTATCATGTCAAATACGCTGGTACTTAACTAATGCTCATAAGGATATGCGTGATAGACTTGAAACGTACCTGGGTACCCAGTAACATGACCAGTTTTCGCAGGCGTTAAGGAAATTCTCACCGTCAACATTAAGACCATTGAAATTATGAGCCTTATTGGGCTATCGAAGCGTATTGAAGAATCGGCTGGAAACAGTGTCTGCGTTCTCGCTGAGAGATTTGAGGATGGTCCCCCGTTTTACATTAGTTTGGTGAGACTAAGTTTCAGCTGTTTTTTGGGGGGGTTGTCACGATGGTATATTCTGGGCATAGCGCTCTTGGATGAGGTCTCAAAGGTGTGATTCGGTACTTGTCTGCAAAGTATTAAGAAAGGTCCTCGATATTGAGCTTGCTCAACCTTATTTCTAACGACATGGCTTCAGCCTCTTCCAGGTACAGTAAAATTACACCCGACCTCAACCTCCAAAGTCACATTACCAATGTCTGGAACCAGAAGTGGAAGAAGGAGTAAGTGTTTAAAACTCATTTCTCTTCTTAGATGTAGTTCTCGAACCTGTTTGACTTGAGTACATAACAAGACCCAGACGATCCGTAGGAGGCCAGTGTCCAAGTTATTTGTTATATGCTAGGTATGCTTTCTGGTGATAAGAATGCATGTGCCTGTGTTCAATTACGTCTCGCTCTTAAAAAATCATCTAATTTATATTACGCAAGTTACTTTTCTCCAAAGGTACTGTTTTATCTGGTGTTGAAATACTGGAGGAGAATTACTACAGTAGCACATACTAGATCCAAAAAGTAAAGTGAATAAAAGCCCAATAAAAGAATTTCGTATTGATATGCATGTACGAACTTTTCTAATTGTAAACAGAAAAGTTCCTAGCAAAAACACATGCAAGCAAATTTTCGCAGCTCTGAAAATTTACTTCTGCGCCTCGCTTAAATCAACCCCTATTTTTGTTCCGCCTCAGACCTCTTAATCTATTCACTCCTTCAATACAGAAACTAATGTTGCTAAAGTGATGTATATGAGACAGATTCCCATGCCTATTTCTCATCTGTATAATACAAAGGCCTTGCAAAAACATGGGCCTGTGGAAACCTGGATCTTTATTTGTATTTCAACTCATCCTAAAGCAAGACACAGAATCACATCAACATCCAAAATCCATTTTGATATTCTCTCAAATGGTCTTTTACCGCAAGTATGCACCTTTCCTGTATTAGAGCTCCACAAGAGAGACCCAACGTAACTCATGACAACCCCTCAATACGAAATCATGTCTACCCCAAGTCCCATTAATGAGGAACGTAACATCGTCCATCATAGTGCAGCTCACGTCATAAGTCCCCTAAACCCAATTTGAAAACCTTAATCTCAAACTCCCACAAGTGATTTCCACTTACGAAGTCCTCCCGGTCCCGCCTTCGAGACTTCAAAAAATCCGCATGTAGAGTAAAAGGAAGACCCTTCGTTCCAAACTCCCAGTCTAACCCGTCCAAGTACCAACAAATTTCCTGCAAAACTCAAACTTTCGGCAGCTTGTATGCACTGTACGTCAATTCCCAGTCCCCACAAATCAAGCATTTTGGGAGAAACCAAGAAAACCCCCCCCCAAAAATAAAGAAGAGAATCCCCCCGCTTGCATACATGCAACGTTTGCTCCCACTGCAAAGGGCCTTTCTAGAAGGAGCAAGTGATGGAATCCCAAGCGGATCCTCGCCTCTCAAACTACCCACTCAGACTCCTTTCCCCAACTACGAAGAATTCTAGAAGCCTGGACTTAGGCAGTAACGCAGCACCGCAGTGCAATGCAGCTCCAAGAAACAACTCCATGTAAGTCATCAAAGTAACAACGAAAACGGCCCCGTTCGTCTCCCCCATCCAAACGTCGGGTGAGGGGTAGGTGTTATGACTCGTAGACAGCTGTTCTTGGTCTCAACAAAAGAAAAGAAAAACTCTTCTGCTGGTGGTGGTGATGGTGGGGTAAGTGGGGGGAGGGGTAAAAGACGGATGTGCGAAAGTGGATAGGTAGCCTCTGGTTTTTTCTCTCCAACCAAAATTTCATTCTCATTCCCCGCCTCTGTCTTCTTTGACTTTTTCAAATTTTCTGATTTGATGCTTGGAAAGTTCATGAGTGATGTGGATGGAGGCCCATAGCACTCGCAGATATGATACTCATTGTCTCAGATTCATGCGATTCGACAGGCATACTGGTGAAGTGTTTTGCATTGGAAAAACTGGGGAGAAAAGGAGGGGTACAAGAGGCGGTCAATGGACGTTGTGATGTGGTGGGGTTTTTCTTCATCAGCCTTGTGATGATGTGAAGGTGATTTCCGTGGAGAGTAGAGGTTGGTTAGGCGGGGTAAGTACTGTATGAAGGGGTAGATGTTTCCATGTGAAAACTTTTCTCTACTCATCACGGGATCTCGAGAATCCGCCTACTGTAGGTGAAGTTGGTCTTCCAGTAGTACTGTACAGAGGCATCCAATATGATGAGAAAAAAATCAACAATTACAAAATATATCGTTTGACCTTCCCCCCACGCGCTGTCATCCACACATTTCAGGTACAAATTTAGACACCGAGATATCGTAAACTGACCAGAAAAAGACTTCAGCCCTCCCCATCTACGAATTTAGGCTAAAGTCCCCAGTCGGTAGCTGAACCCATTAAGAAGGTGGCCCACTACACCGTCAACTCACCCCCAACCCGTGGAGGTGGGACGACCGTCCAAATTAGGGTCGATTGATATTGAGATACGCTGTACTGCCCACGCGACCTTAAAGTCCAGCTGAAATACATGAACAACAGCCTTATGAAGTTTCCCCCATCACCTGGTTCTCATTGTAAAAATGGAGAAGAGTGCTTTCATCATGGAGGTTGGGTTTGTGTATTGTAGTTGGAAGACCAGAAAGGAAGTTTCGGTAAGCATGTTTCGGGGAGGAGACGTAAGATGGGAGAACTTCAGGCCCGAACTGTGAAGCTTGAAAAGGGCCGGTTGGGAATATTCTTGGAGCGTTTGGTACAAGAGACCCATAGAGCGTCTCGAGGGTGCCTAGAAAAAGTATCACAGCCTTGTCGAAACATGTGAAGTATACTCGTATCCACTACAGTATGCCTAGCCTTGTGGAGAGCTAACGGTAGGTACTGACAGTACTGTACTCGGTCCAGACGATTGAAAGGGGGAGGAGGAACCGGGAGGAAGCGGATATTTGTGGATAGAAGATAGAAGAAAAAGCCCCGGAATGATTCCTTTCCAGTTGGAACTGAAAACGCCCACGGAAGAAATGATTGTACATTCCCAATTGAGTAATTAGGATTAAAAGAAAAACAAAATGAAATTTGTTTCTGAATAATATCCCCAGTATACAGAGTTGAAGGAGCAGGCCAAGGGGAACTGGTGGGTTGCCCGAAGACATGAACCGCCTTATCGATATGCGGGCCGATCATGTGTCTTACTAGGGGTCTTCACCGCGTTTATGCAAGTTATGCAACATATGGGTATTGTGACTGGAACACCACCACCACCAAGTCCCGGATCTCTTGAATGGAATAATGTCACTACTCTCCATTGTTTTTAATTTTTTATTCAAATGGTAGTCAAACCTGGAACCTAGAAACATCCCGCGTCATCTTACTCCATCAAGCTCCTGTCTACCTCTTTCTGGCGGTCTATCCCACCTCGCTAATCCCATTCGCTTCTCATCCTCCCCCTCTTCCCTCTTCCATCTCACTTCCACTTGAAACACTACACCCAGATGACGACAATAATCAATCATGTCGTGCAGCGGCGGCGGCGGTCAATAAATTCTCACCTCAGCTCTCACATGGGCACGGCAGCGCTGCAACTGCCGCTTTCATAAGAAATCGTAGATATTCTTCCAGGAGTAATCTTGTGTGTGTACTGTAGGCGAGTATCTCTGTGCCGTATTAGGATCACATACCCAGTCAGGCCACGTTCTGAGCGAGCGAAGGAATCCGACTTCTCCCCCACCACCAGACCCTCGGGGCTCTCTTCTCCCTCCCCCAGATTTAACTCAACGTTGTCTCATCTTACCCGAGCATCATCTTACCAAATCAAATCATCTGCCCCTCCTTGTCTGGCCTGATTTGTTCTGCATTTTGGACCCCAATCTCGCCTCCCTCAATCCCAAAAATTCTAAATCCAAACATCATGACTTTCCTACGCCTCTTCCTTACTTTCAGGAGAGAGTGCGAGGGTGAGATTTTCGAAAGATTTGGAAAGATCCTCATCTGATCATGAAATTGGTGATACCCCCATTTATTTTGGTCAACACCTTCAAGCAACCCAACGGCGTAAACCAAGACCCCTACCTACCTACCTAGCTTACCATCCTAAAAAACCACAACACTTATTTTCTTTATCCGGTTGGTGATGAGAATGTGATGAGATCGGATCTACAAGGCATCCCATCCCCATCGCCAACCCCGAAATCTCGTTGGGTGAAGATTAGAAATCCAAGCCCAGATGACACACGAAATCCCCAACAGAACGTTTCCCAACGGTAATCAAACTTCTCTGGAAAGGGAGAAGAGATGATGGAAAGGATTTCACAAGTCAGCGGTCCGGCACGTTGCGTAGCATCCCGCTGCACGGCACGGGTGCCGATGCAAGTCAGAGGTAGTTCTTCACCAACAGCCCGCCCTGGTTCTCCAAAAGGTCGTTTTCCGAGATGTGCGATTCGGTTGGTTCACCCACGCGACAAAGTGCGCACGCATTCTTGCTGACGCCGGGTGAGCTTCCGCTGAAGGAGTCCTCGTTAAAAGGTCCCTAGAAGCATATGGCGCAGCTTATGGTAAGAGTAAGGAGGCTGACCATCCCATCGCTTCGGGCTTGGTGGTGGAAATGTCAAGTTGTTCCTCCTATTGGAGCGGGAGGAGTGATGCTGACGGGTTTTCTGACAAGGCTGATGGGTATGTGGAGTGCATCTCTGATTTTCTATTTCTGCAGGTGCATTGGAGTCCCTGCGTTGAGAGGAGATGTAGAGAAGAGGATTGGGATCTACCTACAACATGGTTTCGGGTTTGCCATCACAGTGTCATTCGGAAGAATTCATTCTCTCGTAAATGAACTCAACAGCCAATTATAAAATTCAAAGGATGAACTAGAAAAATACCCTGGAATGGACCATGTTGAAGGTAATACCGGCATATCATATGTCTTGTTTGAAAAGGATCCTCGGTCATCCACATCAGGTAATCCACGAACGAGAACAGAATAGTGTCAGGGTGGTCACGTTGGAACACCTCTCTCTTCTGTGTACATCCAACCCTCAGCAAACAAAAAAACAGAAAGGATTATCACAACACATATACACCCACTCCATCCAACCATCCAACTATCTAACTATCTCTCAACAACCCCATCCAAAAAAACCAAAAAAAAACCTGAACCCACACACCAAAAAATCAGGGACAACGCACCACCTCCAAGACACACACACACACAATCACCCACCCCCCTCGCTTACAAAAACACTACCACACCACCCATCTCCCTCTCCCTCTCCCTCTCCATCTCCCTCACTACAACCCCCCCTCCCCGCCCCTAGGAAACCCACACCACACCATACCCCATCAAGCCCACCCCATCAAGCCCATCCATCCCATCACATGACAACCAATAACCAACCCATCCCTATCCCACCCCCACAAAAACACAAATCCCAAGAGGAACAGCAGTCTCACAACAAACAGTGTGGGAGCACGAAATCCCAAGAACCAGGGTGTGTTTTGCCCGGTGTGTGCCCTCTGGTCCAAGGTATGCCTGCCGGGTGCGGTGCGGTGTGGTACGGTGCGGTTTTCACCTCGCACGACATGACATCCGTCTTGATACCTATCACCCACCCACCCCCTCTTTTCTTTTCCCCTTTTGTTCTTGTTAAAAAAAATGGAATGGAATGGAAAAAATAATGGATTGTTGATGGGGATGGGGATGGGGATGAAGATGGTGCTTCGCTTAGAGTCGTACGTTGTGTACTGTACCTAGGCTAGGTAGGTAGGTATCTTATCTTACACCAGGTATGTACAGTACGCTAGGTGTTATGTTTTTTTTCTCTTTCCTCTTTCCTCTTTCCCTTTCTCTTTCTCTTTCTCTTTCCATCTCTCTCCGTCTCTTTTTCTCGTTTTTCGATCGCCGTGTTGGTGATACTTCATGTACTTCATGTATGTATGTACATCCCATCTATACATCCCATCTATACATCCCATCCATTCATACATACATCACAGTACACCACAGTACACAGCGCATGGCTATATGCATGATATAAGGCGGTACAGGTATAGTATTAAAAAAAAAATAGTAATATAATATAATATAATATAATATAATATAATAGCCCGAGGAATTAGATATTTGAATTTAGGGAATGCGAGCGATACTATGGTTCGGCTTCTTTGGAAGGGATAGAAATCAGATGTTGTGTCTATGTATATATATATAATATATATATCTATACTTCTAAGTCTACTCCGTACATTCCAATCCATCTAACTAAATAAAACTTAAAAAAGTATAGTATAATATCAGACATACTATAGGTAATCCCCATAATCCCAATACACCACAACAAACCCCCTCATCCCCCTCGTCCCCTCATCCCCTCTACTCCACCTCCTAAAGCAAAGGAATGGAAAAGTGAAAAGGAAAGTATACACCATATACCATACACAAACCAACAAATCCTTAACATAACATAACATATCACTCCACCTTAGTAATCTTACCTTACCTCCCATCCTCTCACCCCTTTCGCGTAAAACGGTTAGTTACCCTCTATATGGTTACACTGCTCGTATATATATATATATATATATATATATATATATATAT